AAATTACATATAATTTTATATTTTTATATTAAATAGATATTGTTAATCAAAAAAATTGTCAGTGTATAAACATTGTTTATTTCGGTGGTGTAACAGGGGGGAAAGGTAACACTTTCACTATGGGCCGATTATGAGTCATACGTAAAAATCGGAGTGAGTCCACTGGTAGAAAAGTTATCCACAGAAAAAAAAATAAACATCTTTGTAAAACCATAAGCTTCTTCACTCCACTCAGAATCTAAAATATTGCGTTGTATAAATAACTATATTTTAACAAGCTACAAGAAAAATTTTTCTTAATTTTTTTCCCAGATACGAAAATTCCTTGGAAATTTACGATGCCCTCTCGGAGATGGAGGTCTGAAATAAACACTGAGTGTATATACCATTACACATATTGCATTATATATTACCATTATATGGGTATGTTCTCCATTTTTTCAGAAGTAACACGTTGAATAAAAAAATATAATTTGTGTGTACCTATACAGATTTGTACCTCGTATAGATAAGCAATTCAGTAAGATTTAACAAATGCAATAACCAATAACATATATTTTTATTTAATAATAATCATGCTCCTGCGCTTTGATTTAAATATATTTTGACGATATTATGTTTTTGGGCTTGGGAGTCAGTCGATTTGACAGAAAGTGTTATGCCATAGGAAAAAAGTACCTGTTCAAAAAAATCACGTCATTTTGGTACCTACTACACACAACAGCAGTCAGGGCAGACGTTAGGGGCGGGCGACCAGGGCATCTCAGCGATAATAACTATACTTGATTAATTGGAGAGAGTCGTAAAAACATGGTTCCGCTCACCCATATAGTAAATATTATGTATCGATATATATTTAATATTCAGTTTATATCATTTTTTGTACATTCGTTGTGTTATATACTTACAATATTTAAAGACAACTGAAAATCAATATATGTGTTTATATATTTATATGATAACTTCACTATATCAAGATTCTGATATCAAAATAGTAATTTGTGTGTGTAATTTATATTAGATATTTTCTGCATGACATTTGCTGTACATGTTGTAATTAATATTAATTTGATATCTAAATATTTATCTTAAATCACATGTTTACACTGTATATATTTAATATCAGAAGTAGTGTATCAAAAATATGATTTTTTTAAAATATTCGTTGGATATCTTATTAACGATACATACAAAATATATTGTCTTTGATATTCATAAGATATCTAAAAAAAAGTTTATCTTGAATTACTATATAATTATAATAGGTATTATATAATACCTATATATTATTATATTCAACTATAAATTTTATAATGACGCGTATAATACATATTATATTATATATTTATTTAATTTCAGAAAAAATAGTTCAAAAAACTGATTTGAAATGCATAAAATAATATTGATTGCATATTTTGCCTACCGCCTATATATTATTACTAACCGACCCGTCACGGCTTCACCCGTGATTGGTTGTTTAATTTGCCTTTGGATAATGATATATAGAACTTTTTAATCAAATTCTATCGTTTAATAATATCGGCAAATTAATATAAAAAAAAAAAAAAACGGTTAATGAAAACGTATTGAAATGTTTCAAGCGGGATTAATGACAAATATATTTTTACTAAAAATGAATGCAGATACAAAAGAAATGCTGAGTAATTTACGGTTGATAAAGAATTTTATAAAACTTCTGAGTATATGGCGTTTTTTGTTTTATCTCCTGTTGAAATTAAAATCATAAGATGCTTCGGGTCCCCAGTTCGAGAAAATCTCACGTATAATTGTCCATGTGAAAAGCACTGTGTTCGAAGACCTACGCCAACGTATCTGTATGTTTGACCTTGAGCTTTGTGTATCGTGATTGCCAAAGAAACTTTAACAGAGAATTAAAACCGTTCGAACGGAAACGGCAAGTCCGACGGAATCACGGGAATTCTTGGAATAAATGCAATTTCTCNATCTTGTACCGTTACATAACTTCGGTGGTTGAAGATTACGTAATAATGTAATCGGAGTACCAATTTTTAATTTTAGCTTATGGAGAGGAAATCCCGAAGGAGAAAGAGAATTGAGAAATTATTGTAGATATAAATATATAAAGATATGGATAAAGATTAATACGAATATTCGGTATACATGTTGTTTGGTGTGCGTGCGATAAACTTCTCGGAACAATTCGTACCTACACGCCGATGTCAAACACGATACAATTTGACGAACAAAAAGGTCAGGTCGCGGGTAGCTGTAAACCCGCGGGCCGCCGTGCCGCACAATGCGTATATAATATGGGTAGACAATTTTTTAATTTTTCAAGAACTTTATACTTATTTTTTATTGACAAAAGTGGTACTAAAACCTTCAGCAGAGTGTCGGGTACAACGGTAAAAAATTTCGGCCAAATCGGTACGGTGGTTTTCTCGGTTAGCGCGGTCGTAGAAAACCCCTTACAATTTTATATAATAGTATAGATTATTATAAAATTATTAATTAGAAATAATAAAAATTGCATTATTTATTATTTTTAAAATATATATACATACTTTATGATACAATAATAATTATTATAATTTCTAAATACTACGGTATTATACGTATCACCAGATAAATTGTATACCTACATAATAATGAAATTGTCAAAAAAGCTGATAACAGCTATTGTAGGATAAAGTAGTAAGTTATATAATGTCATACATATTATATGTATAGACGCAGCTTTACGGGGGGATATGGGGAGTAGATCCCCCTTGAACTTTTTTTTTTATAGTTAAGTTTTCTCATTTTCTGTATTTCACAATATATTACTTTTCAGTATGTTTGTTTTCTAAATGTTCTATCCGTGGTAATTATACCGCTCTAGTCTTTTCCCACTAATTTTTGGCGGCATACGTAACTATTATCAACAACAAAAACATACACCTATAATGTGTACTGTATTTTGTACTCTTCTGCAAATTATTTTTCATGCATGACTGCATGAGTGTTAGTATATAAATAAAACAAAATAACCATGAAGAAGTAAATATCTTATCAATTTTCTATTTAATATTGGAATATAATTATAAATTAGTAATTATTATTTACTTTGTTTATTAGAACAGACTTAATGGGTTGGCTTAATTGGCATGTCAGCGGATTATAAAAATCATGCCAGATGAAGTTATCGATGAACCGAACATCAATAACAATAGAAAACTGGATTTTATATTATAACTATTTTTTTATTTTTTTATTTTATTAGACACGGGATTAGCGCTAGTTGTATTATGTATACCGTGTATTTATAAGCAATGCTATTATTATACAAATTGTGTTGATTTTTATTTTGCCTTGATCCACACTAACCTCAATGGGTAACAAGTTAGGGGATTTTAAAAATTCATATTATACATGTATTTACATATATTTTTCGTCGGTGAATTGTTTGGAGTCGATATTTGGGGGGTTTGGGGGTGAAGCTCCCGCGGGTCCGTGTATTATTATATATTTCATTTCCCTTAGCGAAATACCTAAATACACCACTGTATAGCTGATCAATATATGATAATATTATACAATACATAGCTAGCTTTCGGGGCGTTTGTATATTAGCTTTAGCTGTCGATATTATATATAGTGACGCGGTAGGTATACCTAAAAATACTGCAGTAGCACATCAGTACCTATGCTATTTTTTAACAAATAATAATTAATGATATACATTTATTTATAACAATATTTTGGAATAAAATAAATACATATATATGTGTTCTTAAAATGTAGAATATAGCAATTTTAAAGTTACTTTGCGTCGCATTTGTATGTACATTTTTATTTGTTTTATATCCAATCGTACTTAATAAGGATTTTGATCAGATAATATGACGTCACACTAATCGTGCATACTACGTCAAGCATTCAACCTGCATATTATCAGAACAATTTTTTTATAAACACTCATGGCATAAATGTCATTGTTTTAGATTTCGATTTTGTTTTCTACTAGAAATATTGTTCCGAACTTCAAGAATAGAATAATTTTTTCTGAAAGAAAATTTTTTCTAATTCGGTCAATATTAATAATAAGCTCATATTTAATCAAACTTCGCTTAGTGTATCGTTGACAATAATAATTATCGTTCTGTTCAGATATATAAATTGTGTAACGCTATATAATCTTACATACTTATTCAACTTCCCACCCACAACAGTAACACATCTATCAGCAGTATCGGCTATTTTTTTTTTACACGCATCATTGATATAAATAGTGCGTGTGAACTAAGTAGAAGTGCAATATTTTCAAACGTTAAAAAATACCTGGGTAATTAGATCACGTTCGATTTTTCTATATTTTGCATTTCGGTCATTCTATTCCTGATTTTACCTATTTCGACGAATTCATCAATTAATATATTTTATGCTATAAAATATATATAAATATATTAAACTGTTGTAGGTAGTAAAAGGCACAAAAATGTCTATATGAGAGTCATCTCGAATTGCCGTGGTCACGTAAAAGTATAGGTAGGTATTGACGAAATACCATGAAAAAGGTATAGTAATTTCATCTAAAAGGCAAAAAGTAAAAGGACATTCGAAATCTATTCGACTCGTTGATGCGCGAAAATTGTTTTTTTTTTTAATTAAAAACCCATTTCGAGGTACAAATAGAAAATATACGCACGTTGTGACCGTTGGACCGTTTCTGAACTCTTTTAGGGCAAACGAGATAAGTTGTTTATAGAGTTAAAGCTATTGCACACAAATGATTAATTTGAAATTGAAACGACACCCGAAACTCATTAAAAGTAATTAAAAGCACTTTAACGGTGACTATTCTTCTCGTCACCGACAGCAAAACGCAGTCGCTTCTTTATATAAAATAATATCTGTCCCGTTTTTGCTTTTGTCTGTGTTATTATTATAATATTATTATTTAATGATAAAATGTTTTCGACGCGATCCATTTAAATTTTAATTTTAATAATTTGCTATTATCATACCGCACAGTGCAGTATAAATCATAACGGTGACAAAATGAACGGTAGAGTAGATAGTCATTATTAATTTAATATTATACTTTGAAGAAACAATAATTATGCTTAAACCACCACAGTTGGAACAAACAACTAACAATAATCGACGTCTGTGAAGTTCCCCTCTCCCACTACCGCCGAATCGCTCCGAACAAAATGTAAGTTATAGGCCTTTAATTATTTCTAATTTTTAAATAAAAGTAAGTTCATTTCCGGAATTTGTAAATATTAACGCTACTTAAATATTATTAGACGAATTAGGTTTTTGGTGGCAGCCTCCCCCCATCAAGGCCAAATTGTAAATTATAACTCTTAATTTTAAGTAACTCTCGACACTGTAAACACTGTAAACCAAAATAATTTTACGATATACCTATCGCGGGCAAATGTATAAAAATAGTAAAAATATAGACACGATACCTAAACATCGGGCATTTTAGTTTCGTAAAAATAAAACTAATATACTAAACGGCATAAAATAGTCTCTGATCTTGACGAAGGCGATTAACGCGACGATACCTTAAGCCTTAAGGAAAACAAAACAAAATGTTTTGCAATTATGTTTGTTTTTTTTTTTCCGTGAAAAATTTTTCTACCAAAAATTTTGCTCCGATTTTCAAGTATAGCACTTTTTCTGAAATGAAATCTGACTGGGTTAGTACTGTAGGGAAGTCATTGATTTTACCAGGAGTTTTCATGATAAATGGGAAAAAAGAGAAATTTTACGAAATATATATTATTTTCAAATCGCAAATATTGCGGCCTTTAAAGACAAATATAACCGAACTCTGCTCGGAATCGTTTTTCGTTAGCAATGATTAATCGTTGCGTACAGATGTAAATTATTTCCACTCTACCTTCCCAACTTCTCGCCTATATAACAGTGGCCCACCCATCGTGCGAAGCATTTCCGTTTGTTTTTTAATTTGATATAGTTACCGGTTCCTGACTTTTTTTTATACACGCTTGACGTATTTGGAATCGAAGTAGTAGGTAATCAAGAAACTCCGTAACTTCTTCCGTACAAACCGTCTTTAAATATTTCACTTCGTCGTAAACTTTAATTATTGGCAAAAATGGCAACTCGTCAAACATATGAGTAGCGAAAAATGACTTAATGTATGATCTGCTTTATGTTTGGCTCATTGTCTTCCAACTTCTTGTATCTTTATCATTTATTGGGTACATTTTTTTTCAAAATGGGTGTTCTTTCTCTGTATTTGTGTCTCAGGTAATACTAGGTTACAGAGTTCTTTTATCCACCATTGTGTAGATCAAATTTTGCGAAAAATTCACCAATAGCTAGAATGATGTTCATAGTCAATAACAATAAATCACTCCCTACCAAGACCCCATCAATTTTTGTTTGTAATTAATAATGTTGCTATATTATTTAATTAATCTGTTATATTTCATACATATATATATATATGTATACCTATTGCCGAATTCCGAAAATTGATATAAATAAAATATAATAAATACCAACATGATTTAAATGATATAAATTTGATAAATTTATTACAATTGACTACAAAATCAGACTTATATAGGTATCCGTGCGCAACAGGTAATCAAGATTTGTTTTAAGTGCTTAAGTACTTAAAACTATTTACTAAAAGTCGACGAATTTAAGTGGTTTTTCTATATTATTATTTATAACGTTTAATATAATTTAGACATTAAGTTAATATTAACCAAGTTTTATAATAGGTCGTACCCGTATAGAAACCAGCAATGGAAAGAGAAAGAGTGGAGGTTATTAGTCCATGAACCTTCTTATCAACAGACGGCACGGTGATGATAATGTACACGACTACAAATAGAACTACAGAAGTGGACGTACCGGCGTTCATGACGATTCTACGATATTAGTTCATTAACAGACAACGGTGTACTTTTAATATTATTGCTATTGTACCTATAACTCGAAATGTTCAATTCCATATTGAAACAGTTCGCCATTTCCTGTACGAAACAGATCACTGTACCATTACAGTTCAGGTAAATTAAACTTTTGGAGACAATAACAGTGGGTGCCCCTGTTTTTATTATTTGTGATTTTACCAGATGTTTGTCTTTGAGCTCGGCCTCTTGCAAAGACAGTGGAAAAGACCATCTGGAAAGTAACACTAATGAAGGATGGCTGAAAAAATTACTCGTACGGCGAATAGAACCAACCAAAGAACAACACTCCCGTATGTTGTCAGATAAAGAAGTAATATATGAATTACAAACACACAATGTACGACCTGATTCTATTAATGAATATATAAAAAACTAGTAAGACATACTATTGCACCAGCTGTCCAGCTCAAATATGTATGTTAATCATATTTTGTTTTTATATTCAAGTGAACAACTAGTCCAGTTATGTCAAGAAATACCTGATTTAAAATATGAACTAGTTGGTTCTTGGTCTGTACATGTAGGTGATCTAGATCAATATGTACATTTGTGGAAACATCAAGGTGGTTATGCAGCGATTGATAAAACTAATAGTATCCTCAAGGATAACAAAGTTAGTTATAATTCATTTAAGTACCATAGATTTATTATTAATTGATGTACTTAATTATTATTCAAGGAACATTCACAATTACGCGTAGAGAGAGGTCGGTTTTTACGGTCGCGACATTTACAATATATGTTGGCTTTCAGCTTTTGGCCTTCTATAGAATTGAAATCTGGTTCTAATATTTATGAGATTCGTAGTTATAGTTTGAAACCAGGCACAATGATTGAATGGGGAAATAATTGGGCACGGGCAATCAATCACAGACGTTCAAATGATGAACCGTTTGCAGGCTTCTTCTCCCAAGTTGGTCGTCTCTACAATGTTCATCATTTTTGGTGTAAGTATGCAAAGTTTAAAATATTTAATAAAACAAAATATAACAATTTATGTAATATGATTTAGGTTACAAGAATTTGGAAGTGCGTACACAAACTAGAGAAGCAGCTTGGATGTCCCCTGGTTGGGATGAGTGTGTTGCTTACACAGTGCCACTAATTAAAGAAATGCAATCAAAAATATTACATCCCACTCCGTTTTCACCAACTCAGTAATATCTACCTAATATTTTCCTTGTTTTTTTTTTTTTTCTAATAATATGTTATTTTTAAATATTTGTTTGTGGTTTTAATTTAATTATTTTCTGTTCTTATATTTTGTAATTCCAATAAAATAATTATTTATATATAGAGAGAGATTTTGTTTCAATTTTAGTTTTTATATTATTTTTATGACAACAGTGTCAATTTTAGACAGGGTTTTCATAAAAACTATTCATTTTAATGGTACCATATTGATTAATAAAATTATTATCATTGAATGAAACTGCATTTAATATTTATAGTGAAGAACGTTTTAATAATAGTAAACTAATTATGTTAAATATTTTAATTAAATAGTATTTACAAATAAATAACTATCATGAATTTTACCTTTGATAAGAAATTTAATGTAATATTAGTATGTCTTTTATATTATTTTATAATAAACAGACAAAATGTCTAGAATAAAAAATTCACATTCTATTGAGTATTATTTGTTTATGAAATAATATTTATTATTTACAATATGATAATTATTTTATAATCATTTGTATCATTAACTTAAACTAATTCAATAAACAATATAAAAACATATTATACCTATTGATGGACTTCGATGGAAAATTTATCAGTTTACATATAACAAATTAATTAATTATATTAACATTTTGTAATCATATTTTTCTAAATCGTCTGATTATTAAACAAAAATATTTTGAAAATAAAAACAATCAAAAATTTAATCAAGGCTTAGAAATGGAAATGATAGTGTTATTTCTATATATTCATTAAAGAATAAAATCTGTTCTTGTTTTACCAATTTGTTTCTTGTGAATGCTGAATGAAAATTACATTTAATACATTTAATTTATTTAAAATTGTGTAGACTATGTGATCTGAAGTGATCTTGTATATTAACATAATTTTAACCCAACTAAAAATTAATGTTAATAACTTATTTTTTAAGTATGTTAAAATATTTATTGTTGAATATATCATTACTATTATTCATTAAATAATCTTAAAATTATAATATTGATCATTTTAGGTTTATTTTTAAGTTTATCATATGTATTTAATAATTGTATACATTTTCAAACTATATTTCAATAACAAAACAGAATAATTAAGTATTAATTTAAAACATTTATTATTAGACTTTACACTTATTCTAAATTAAGGATATAATGTGTTTGCTATTAGTTTAACACAAGTGTTGATAACAGTTATCATAATAATTCTTATTTTGGTCGATCATACTCTAAACTTAAATAATATTCCTATATGAATGTAATTTTGTCTCATATTATATTACTACATCACAATATTTAAACTACCTACTAAAAATAATTATATTGATAACTGTTTAGTGTAGTAAAAGTTGTTAATTTTTTAATGTAAAGCAATTTAAAAATTGTCACTGTTTTCCTGTTGCCTTTTCAATTATTGGAAAAAAAAAAAATACCCAATAAAAATCTATTGAAACCCATATAAGTATTACAAATTTTCAACCGGTAGAAAATGCAGGGAAGGAGGCCTGTAATCCCTCTCCCTGGATGTTTTTATTTGTTATATCAGTACATTTCATCATTCTAAAAATGTTATGTAACATAAAAACTAATGGTGCCCTCCCAACCCACAGAAATTTTTTTCAAACTACAGTTCTGGAAAAAAAAAACCACCTAAAATACTAAACAAAGTTTTGATGTTTGGAAGGTGCAGTAGTAGGGCAAAGTCTTGATGATGGGTAAGGGCAATTGATTTAAGGACTAAAATAGAAAGCTCCCAATGGGAAGCTCAGGGCACCCATTAATTGGACTTAACAAGTCAGTACTCAAAACTGTCTGTACTGTTAAAGCTGGTACTACTGATGTCTGTACCATTGTTTTAGAAAAAAGGATATATATATATGTATATAAAGTAATTTAATTCATATTTTTACACAATGATGAATCATCTTTATTTTTTTCTTTGTTAATGTAACCCAAGAATCAACAAAAATAACCAATTTTTCAATTTATTAAAAAAACTCAAGAAAAATCAAAAATAACCTCGCTAATGTAACAACTAGATCAAAAATACTACTAGATCTTTTTTATTGGAGGAAAATGTATAATCATTTATACATTTTAAATTTATAATAAATTTATGATTATAATTTAATAAAAATAATCAGTTATAATAAAGAGCAAGTGTACACAGCCAGAATAATATTAGATACATGTAATATGTAGAGCATGTAAAAAAAACGGTTATTATTTTACTATAGGTATGTAATATACTTAGTAACTTTTAACTATTTTTTTGTATCTCTAATTTTGCTAACTTTTACTCTACTACACACATACAATATTCTTTGATTTCTATTAAATTCATTTACTTCTACATTTGATTGTACCTATAGACACGCACACAGGGGTTGTTGAGTATTCCATGACATGCCCTGTGGAGTACAATTCCTAGTTTTTGGTTTTATATTGTTTTAACTAAAACTTATTTTAGCCATTCTGACGAATAATATTCTCGATTATGACACATTTCAGCAGTGTGTTAGTAGGATATTGAGTTACTGATATATTCTAAAGATGGTGAAGATGAGTTTAAATAAAAACCTACATTCTTTTTACCGAAGATTAGAACTTGAATAGAATTTAATAGATACATAATTATTTACATAGAAATAGATATAATTATTTTAAAAAGTATAACTATATTATACATAATGCATTTCTTTTATGAGTTATGGAAAAATAAATACAAATACCATCTCTATAAGTATCAAATACACTTTACATTTGCTACTAAATCTTATAAGGAAATACTTTTGAGTACCAATTGGGTTAATGCCTCACACCACACATCGTATAAAATAGTATCAACTATTTCAAAAGAATATTGATAGCTCAAAATGAATTATTTAACTATTATAGATTAAAAGATTTAATTATAATTTATGATATTAGAATTATTTCCTAATCAGTGATAATTTAAATACTTCTAGTAAAATTATTTAAACGCATTGAAGACTTTTAAATAATTAAAGTTAATTATAATATTTGAATTACTTTGATTTTGTTTTGAAACAATAAAATAAATATAGCATATTCAAAAAGTTGTAGTAAATATTGCTTTCCATTTATCCATACGAAATACAAGGAATATCAGTGAATGAAGTACAACATGTAATGTGAATAGGAATATTTATTTATTTTACTATTATTTAGATTTTGAATTAATTAAAACAATATTTTACTTAAAAATATTGTACACATATACGTAAGTTATAAATATACAACCATTCTTTCACTTCTTAAACACACATTTTATACTTGCAATTTCTAATTACGTCATAAATTTTGCCATAAATATTCATTTTAATAAGTGTGTAAACAAATTAAAAATTGTATATTTTATAAGAATTATAGTAAATAAGTGGTAAATTATATAGTAATAATAGTAAGAAGACAAGTTGATTTTAATATATTCTTAGATTTATAGTGAGCCATAGTTTTAGTTTTATTATTAATACATTTAATGTGATATACAACAAAAAATATTTACAATTCAATGGATAGCTTTAACTATGATCCGTGAGTAATTGTTGCTTATTAACTATAAAATATTTGTACACATGTTAAGTTTACAACTAATTTGTTTTTTTCTGTAACTATCTAATAATGAAAAATATAATTGTTACATTATTTTGTATTTTTTTATACTCTATTATTTATAAATTTAAATTTTTAGTTTTTATTGCAAACACTTTCTTGTAATCGTAATTTAAATTTTTTGTACATATATGTTTGAAATTTAACAAGAACTGCCCATGGATGCAATGGAACATGAAAAATCAGTGTATATGATATATGCATAGGTGATGTGATAGATTGTTGTGAATGGAATTCAAGTCAGGGAAGTCAATCCTGAATAGCTAGGAGGAATAAGAATCTAAATTAATAAAACTCGATATTTATTATTTATGAAGCAAATAATTAACACTTGATTAATAGGAATTTTTTTTTTATTAAAATTGTAAAAAAAAAAAATTAACAATAATATTAACATCTAATAAGTTCATTTATTATAGTAAATAGTATACACTCAAAAATGCTTTAAACATAATGATAAATTAATGAATAAGATTATATTTAGAAAATTAACTAGTCCTATTTTTAACATTTGACATAATATAATACACTTAAAGATGTTTTAAACATAATGATCAATAAATGAATAAGATTATTTTGAGAAAATTAACTAGTCCTATTTTTAAAATTTGACATAATATAATTTACTAAACAACATATTTTGTTCCTTAATGTTACAATACTGTTATAAAACTACATAAATGGTAATTCACAATCAATAAAAGCCAAATTTGTTTTCATAAATTATTAATAGAAAACATAATTTGGAAGACAGCAAAAAAAGGGAGTAAGCAATAAATATAATTAATAAACAGGGTTTAGTACTTACAGCATCCTTTATATTATTTACATAACATTAAATTTAAAAGTGCTTCTTTTGTTTATTTCAATAGTTTAAAAAAATACTTTTCGGTATTTTAAGGACATACAGAGTGATCAATCTATCATAAGACACTCATTATCTCAGAAAGTATGCACTTTTTTAGGAATTTTTTTTTTTTTGAAAACTTAAGAAACAAATAGTTCTAAAATATTACATTTTCACTTTATTTTTGTCATCCTTATTTTTGGGAGTGAAAGGAATACCTATTTTTGATGTCAAAAGGGCAACCTACAAAAAAAAATCCATAAATAGATGTAGAAGTATTAGTTAAAATAAATTTTTTGGGTCGAAATTTGATCATTATTTGAGTGGTGGCTTGGTATACAGCATTTTAAAAATGCTCTACTACTCTTGTATAATCCAAACTTAAAAGTGAAATATCTCTTCAACCGATTGATTGAAATTAAAAATTTCATACTGTATTTATTTGTGGAATATTTTTGTAAGTTACCATTTTAAAATAAAAACTAGGTATTCAAATGTTAATTTCAGAACTATTTGTTTCTTATTTTTTCAAAAAATAAAATCCAAAAAAAAGTCTTGTAATAGATTGATCACCTGTATAATAAAATTTTTATTAACGCTATTTTGTTAATTCTAAGTGCTATAAGTCCCAAACCCTACTAATAAATAACACCAATTAAGAGAAATAGTAGAACTGTTATTGTAAAAACATTATCACAGTCATCAACAATCTAAATGCACAACAAATCTAATATAATCTAAATAGTAAAACAAAAATTATTCAGCTGAAATAGTTGTAAATGTGTTTACTCTAGTATACCTAGAAAATTTCATATATAGTTTTCTGAACCAAATGTATTGAGAACAATGTGCTTTCATTGCTTTCTGTAAAATAGGAAGAAAACAATTTTAACAAAAACAACACATTAATAAGAAATTGGATAATTTACCGTTACACAGCACTGTTCAGTTTTTGAGATAGTACATTTGAAGTCAGAGGTATTGTTGAAAAATCGATCAATACATTTTATATATTTGCGTATGACGTTGACTGAATCCAGAGTGTAAATGCGGCAATCTAAATTTAAAATATTTAATATGATTTAAAACAATAATTAATTGTAATTTAATTCTATCTCATCCTTGCCTTTATTATCTCATGTGGTTAAAGAACAATTGATTCCTGTCAGATTATTACATGTTTTTTTTCCTAAACGAAGACGGGTGTTTGATTGGTTTCAAAAATCGAACTAAAAATTGCAAATACCCAACAGTTTGGTTCGAATATCATTCAATACCGATTTTGCGAGGTCACCAATACAATGTTCTGTAGTGGGATAGTGGCCTTGTTACGAAAAAAAAATTCTATTTTTTTTTGCACTAGTGGGTCTCATATCAATCCATAAATCATGGAGCTCAGCAGTTTGAGTTTAATAAAATATTTTAAAAGTTCAATTCGACCTTAAAAATCGAGTTTCGTAAAATTTCTAATAATAATCTAACTGATCTAAGTTAAAACCTTATTAAAAATAATAAAGTAAGTATAAGGAAAACAGGAGAAGTTTTATTTTTTCATGCATGAAAATATTTTATTTATGTATAATAGTTTTAAAGGGATTGAAAGCATTAAATTTTTGTCTTTATCTTACACACGTTCAACATAAAAATCTAAACATATTCTATTTCCAATATTCTGATTAGTCTCATGATAATAAATCTGAAAACAAATTTTAATTTGTTATCAAGTCTTATTAAGATGGACTTTTCTACTTTTATAATTTTTATTTTTATTTCTCCAAAACTTAAAATATTCTGGTTTTTCCAATTACTTTTTTAATATTTTAAGAGAAAATCAAAAATGTGGAAAGTCGATTTCAAGTAGACCTGATGACAAATTCAAATCTGATTTTAGAGTTTTTATTGTTTCACTAGACGAATTAGTACGTTGTAAATAGAACACATCTAAATTCTTATATTTCAGAGGTAAAACAAAGAAAAATAACCGCTTTCAATCCCCTAAACATCAAATTTTAAATTATTTGTAAAAGTCTAAGTGTTAATATTAAATATTAACATAACATCATTCTGTGCTTCAAAAATATTATTATTATAATTAATATTATTACTATTTTGATTATTACTTCTTCTACAATTATAATTTTAACTCTATTATATTACATTTTGTATGTATCAAAAATATTATGGTTAAGAAATTAAGGGTTTTATAACTATTGGTAATAAACATAAAATATAAAAATTTTTGACCTGGCCAATTGTTAGTATACATCATTTTTCACAGGAACCAATTGTACTATTAATTTTATTTATTGGTGTTCATCTACTTATCTTCCTAACTATCATATTAATTCTCTTTTTTTAAACATGGTCATACCATCTTAATATATTCCTTTTTTTATTTTATTGGTATACCTACAGATTGATATAACAATATTTTCTGAAAAAATACTGATATTTTGATATAAATATTTGCTCTTTGATAATATCAGTGTATCAATATTTCTTTTAACATTTTTTTTTTTTTAAATATGTTGATTTTAAATTTCTATATGGATTGTTAAAATATAACCTACTTATATTTTGTAATAAGACTATTTTTCTGACTAAACTATAGGTTATCATGTAAGTGTGTAATCTATGACCGTGGTATTAACTATGATATATAATGTCTCTAATGCAAACTTGCGCGATCAATCAGAAGTGTTAGGCAGTTGACGCAAAGGCTAGTCAGCATTCTACTCATTAATCAATGATCATTGTTGACATTGTTGTTTTCCAATCCTATACTCAATATTGCCATACTGAGTATTGACTTGTTTCACATTTTAAACTCTTCGTGAAATCTCGTATTTTAGGCACAAGTTCATGATTAATTGCTCTCTACCATGCGTATAATATAATTTTATGAATATGGATAATACCTAATCAAATTGATATGTATGATATAATATGTAAAGGCTATAAATATATATTATTTTTATTTAATGTAATTTATTATTAATTTTTAATACATATAATAACCACTCAGATCACTAAATGGCCAGGTTATTTGTTTATATTATATTATTTACAAAATTATAAATGTGGATATAAATAATTCTCACTCTGCCCCTGTACTCAATATAATTTAAAATGAAAAAGCAAAACTAACATGAATCTCATCAATAAAGTGATTATCTATGTGTTAAATTTATCCTTAATTTAGGCAAAAGCTTTATATTTTCCAAAGTATACACAAGAGCCAAAATCATAAGACTATTTGCACTAATGATGTTATTATTGAAATTATATATTAAATAGATAATACCAATTACATAAAGTGACCACAAGGTAATTTTTATAGACAGTTCAATAATGTTACCTATAGTTTGAAAAAAAAAAATTAAGAAAAATATCAACATTTTTTGTGTTCATACACAGTTTTCAATATAAGTGATTCTAGACAAATTCTCAATATCTCTATAGGTATACACTACTCTTACGGCTACTTTTTATGTATACATTCTTAATTCTATTCAACACAGTGGCATCACAAATCCACTTTAATATTTTCATTTCTGTTAACGTTGAGTCTATTTCATCTCCTATTTGATCACACCCAAAAATCAGACATACCGTAAAGTTTTATACAATTTTCCTTTCACTTATTTACTCTGAATTCTATATAATACTAAATAAATGCATTAACTACATTTAACACTTACTATCTGGAAGCATTCTATTATAAACTAAATGAAACAACGCCAAGTAAATTGAAACATGATTTCGGTGTCCACTAACACCATAGCTGTCAAATGTTAATACTGTGTCAATTTCCAATTGTTCTACGTGTTCTGTAATCTTATCAGACAGTAAAATTGTATCCCAGTTCACATTAGGGTTATCTGGGAGTAAAGTATTTCTGAAATTACCCAATAAATACATAAACAAATAATAACAGACAAGGTATAATAAGTAACATTTATTTACTTGCACAACAAGATATTCCCCTCGTCAATACCCAGTATCTTACAGCTTTCATATAGTTCAAGTTTTCGTAGTGAGCCTTTACCTTCAAAGTTACCTGTCAACCAAATAAGTTAACTATTAGTTAATTTCTAAGGGACGTTAACGGCTACAAAGTCACATTACCAACAGAAAGACACAACAGGTAAAGCTGAGTGTCATTCATTTTTGATAACTTTTGTATAATTGGACCAAAAAACATGCATTCATCGTCTGGGTGTGCAGTGATCAACAAAACCCTGTGCGGTTCGTTTTCCAGTTCCAACATCTTTTGTCTACGGGACGCTCTCAAACAGGTCCAGAAGTATCCGACAACAAGCACTGATGCTGTTACAAGCATAGCCGAATTCAAATCTACAACTTCGAATAGATTTTGATGGAATATTTTATACAACATTATGTACGCGTACAGATGAGATCAATACAATAATACTTATAAGTTAATAGTAAATAAAAACACAAAATATGAGTACACATAGGAATTAGGACAAAAAACCCATACTGATTTTTGACGTCCAGTTGGGAGTCATATTGCAGTATCAGTAAACGTTATCACTTATCCTATCATTATGTTATTTATTTCTCAACAATTTATGTTAAATATATACTATTATTTTATCTATGCTGTGCGGCCTGTTGGTCTAGGGGTATGATTTTCGCTTCGGGTGCGAGAGGTCCCGGGTTCAAATCCCGGACAGGCCCGTAAAATTTTTTATCGTTTTTTATTGATTATTTTCATTATTCAGATAGTAAAAAAAAATACATAATAATATTACGAGACTTAATTCACTAGAAACCGAACACACGATGTCCATAGGTGGGCCACTTTTGTAGCCGTGTAAGAGAAAACGCGAGTGGCGCTGAGTTGTACAAGCCGGCTGGTAGCGATACAGCTGTTACCTACGCACGTAATGTTGCTTTTCATTTTTTTAAGATGTTAACTCTAATGTGCGTGCACTGCTTTGGTCCGCAAGTCCGCACTGTCTCAATTTTGAACTGTCAAAATTACATAAGTATCATAGTGAGTTATTATTTATTACAACGATATATTTTCAGGCATCGATATAAATTTATAAAACTAAAAAAGTAAAAACAGTACTGAATACAAAATGATTGACGGTTTTTATTTTTGGAATTGATATTTCTTACATTAAAAAAAGTTTTCATACTTTATTATTTTAAACAAAAATTAAAATTACATAAGTACACTATTATTTATTTACTTTTCATTTACCATAGGAACCTCCGATTTTTGTATAATTGCTTCCTGAGAATATGCAAAAATTTAAAATTAATAAGTATTTAGCTGAAAAATATTATTATTAATAGTTTTCATACCATTACGTTATCTGGTATATTTTTTTCTTTTAAATATGAATTTAAAAAACGTAGTCATTTGGTCAATTTGTCTCGTTATAGTCATTCTAAATGGGACAATATATTCTGGCACAGCTATATGCATAAACTCACGAAATCATTCACCTTCTACGATACCAATTGGCTTTGAATGTTTAATGACAAATGCCATCGAACTTTTAGTAAGCTCTTTACTACGAACCCCAGATAATTTTGAATATCACTCGATGAACAAGATGTTTTTTGATGCGCTGCACCGTTGGAAAAATGTGATTTTAAATTAGTAGCATTACCACTGTACGCAATAATAGACTTACACTCGCGACAGTAAACTTGTTTCTTATTTAACACTGTATCATTACTATCTATTTGAAAGCCAAAATGTTTCCTTATATCACCACGACCTCCAGGTAATGGTACTATCTCAAAACAGTTAAAACCACTCATAATTGTTAATTAATTCAATGCAATTGAATAGGTTGTAAATATCAGAGAACGACGATAGACGTAGACGTAGACGACGAAAAAAACGAGACTAATTGTAAAAATCCTACAGTTACAACTATATACGTTTATTGTAGGGGTCTTGTCGTAATGCTTATCGTTGGTGTTTAATCGTTCTTTGACATTGATTCACTGTCAAAACTTATATAAATAGAAAATAGATATTTCAAATTGCGACGAATTGATATCGTATTTCGATATCGATATCGATAAAATTAGTCCGATATCGTTGTGCATCACTATTTATTATAATATAATCGTTGCTTGAATTAGGGGTGGATTCACGGGGAAAGGACCTCATTTATTTAACGGAGTACTTCCACTTTAATTTTCCTAGTCCGAGCACTGATAATAATAGATATAAATATATATATAATATTATTGTACATCTATATAATTATATTTTAAACGTTTTTTTGGTACCTACCTACTAAAATAGTTTTTGCTAAACTAATGTAAAAAGTAGCGAGTAGTAAATTGGTGTTATTTTATGTATTTATTTATCTAAAAATATATTAAAAAAACGAAATTCCAAACTAAGATAAGGAGTGAACATAGTTGGATATTTGAATGGTTTATAGGGATCAGGGTTATATTATAGTGATGAACAAAAAATAAACAAAAAATAAACATCAACATTATTCATTAAATTCATCAAATTCATAGTGGTATTCGTATTTAAAAACTCAAAATCTAAAAATGGTGGTCCAAGTGTAACGTACGTATTATTTTATTGTTTTAAATATCAAATTGCAATACGGAATTTTCAATTCTTGAATTAAGAAATATATTACATATATATTACAATATTCCATTTACATGGAAGTATTTAAAATTCAAATACAAATATGTCCAAGACCGTATTTATAATACTTTCCAAATACTTAACGCAAAAAGTATTTAAAAAATTTACTAAATACTATAAAAGGATTTAAGTAAATACCTATTCATTATGTACGCACCTACGCGGCTACACCGATATTTCTGGGCGTAATAATGTTTAGTGCAACAGAGCGATTTCAATTTAACGACACTTATGCAACGACGACAATATTCAGTGAAAAATTAAACAAATTTTTATTATTGACAATTATAAATATCGGGTTCATAGAATGTTGAGCGTTGGAGTTGCGCTAAAAACAAATACAAGTGTCATTTAAATGAAAGCGTTTTAACATTGTTATGTCACAATTAATCATTGCCACGAATCCGATTCTTCTAAATGACTAAACAGACAGAGTATATTCGCAACAGTATACAAATATAAAGCAACGGAGGATGCTGCTGTGAGACTTGCAGCACTGTTATACATAATTCAGTAAACATGAGATAGCGAGGTACAATTTTTTTCATTTTTAATAATAGTCGTATGATTTCAACGATTACATCGCCTTAGCATCACAACCTAAAAATTTTTCTTTAAAATTCATAACAACCTTTAGCGGCTAATTTATGGGGACATGGTAGAAACCTCCGCGTGGCGGTGCCCTTAGTAATAGCGAGTTCCGTAGCATATATCAACACTTTTCACAAAGGACTTTAAATATAGACTCTTTGCTAGCCAATCCTACTAACCGCAGTCAGCCGAAACGGCTCTTATCAGGGCCAGCATTAACTTTGGTGTGCCTCAATATTGAAGGACTTACACTTAAAAATGAAATTATCATCACTGAAATAGTAAGAGAACGAGATTACGAAATACTTCTCTTATAGGAAACTCACAGAGAAGAACATATATCAAAACTAAAATTAACCGAATGACCCTTATCATAGAACAGCCAAATAAAAAGTACTGTAGTGCTATTTTTGCGAAAAACAATACAACCGTCAAGTCAGCGTCTAAAAGTGAAACAACATCGAGATCCTAACTGTTGACCTAGGAAAATGTTCAATTACGTCAATCTATGAACCTCCAAATGGGAATTTCCTTTTCGAAGAATCGGAACATTTTTAAATATAAAACCCTATACAAATATAGTTGATGGGAACTTTAACAGCCACAATACAAGCTGGGGGGTATGCGGTAACCAATAATGACAGCATTGAGATAGAATACTGGGCTGAAGCCTGAATTCAATCTAATTTTTCACGCCAAACTCGTATCTTCCTTTAATAGTGGCAAAAATTTGAAAAAAGTCTGCAATCCGGATAGTATTTTTCTGGGAAAATTACAGCCAGCCTATGTATAAAAAACGTACTAAAACTGATTCCACGAACACAGCATCGTCCAATATCATGGTAAAATAGAATCTACTATCTCGCCGATAAACATTAGACCTACTTTATTATGAGAACACTTGGCTGACGCTTCGACAATATGCTTGGAAATTTCCTACTTAGATCGTGTCAAATATCCAATTAGCATGATGATGACATTAAACTACCAATGATTTTTATGTTAATGTAAAAATTAAGTAAAATATATGACCCCGTTGCTTTAATCAGGCCCGGGTCATCTTCGAAACCCGGGCCCTAGGGCTACAGCCTCGGCTCCCCCTCCTCGTTAGACCCGCTTGTGCATTGAAAAAATTATTTCTCATGTGGTCTATTTTTATAAAAGAAAAAAATGATTCATACGACCCTTTGACGTTGTCACGTCAACACAAAATGTTTAAACAATTTTTGATATAATGTGTGACAGTCAACCACATCGATTTTTAATAAAACAAAAATTAAACAGACACGGGTATGATGTTGCAATATTTTCCCGAGAGAAATCCTAAAATTGTGTTTCGTGCCAAGCCTCGGGAGCATAACGTGGCACAACGTGATGTAGTCGGTGGTGTAAGCAATCACCAAAAAATTATATACCTACCCATATCTCTATCTGTGTTTACTACTTCTAGAGAACCGTTCACAATTTATTTAACACAAATATTATCAAAAATGATTTAAATAATTAACCATAGGTGCTATACAAACACTATTGAGTAATAATAATAATATATTAAAATGTTTAAAGTCAATGAATGAAGATGGCTGATGAGAGTTCCAATATGGCAGTGTCGTACCAACGCCGATAGTATAGGAAATAACATTATGCTAGTGATATCACGATTATTGGTCGTGTAACACATTTAAAAGTAGCTTAAGTTGTTCACTTAAAAATATACCTACAACATTATATAACTGATAGTGCAAGCAACGCTTAAACCACTCGTTTGCACGCCACGCCACTGCTTCCCAGAGTTCAAGATATCCGGCGCTGTCGGTATGGATTCTTTGTCTTTGACGTATACATTTGTTGGTATATATAAATAAGCATATACTGGGGGTGTGGGAGCAAAGCCCTCCTCGGGGGTCACTTTTACCGTGAAAAATTTAGCCCACGCTCGTAAATGCATGTCGAGTTGCGTCTATATGATCGGTATTTAAACCGATCGATTTATCGGCCGAAATCCAGATTATTTTTTAAACGTTTTTTACATATTCCTCAGGCATTTAGACAAATAAAAAAAAATCTGGCATCCACCGTCAAATATTACTATCGAGTACCAAATTCGCCACGACGTAGCACTAATTATTATTACTGGACCACAGAGCAGTGACGGGCGTGCGCGGCCACGTCACGTACGTGTCGTGCGTGTAAAACACTTACGTCGTCGCTGCCCCCCCCTACCACCTCGCGCACGATAGCGCGATCCGGTTCACCGTAAAAGTGAACGGCGGAAAAAAATCTGCAAAAAATTTGGCGGGCCTGTCCGGGATTTGAACCCGGGACCTCTCGCACCCGAAGCGAAAATCATACCCCTAGACCAACAGGCCATGTTTAAAGTCTATTGAAACTTTTGTTGTTAAATGCCGCCGGGGACGTCGAGCGCAGGCGCTCCTGTACACAAACCACGTCCAACATACTCCGACGTTGCGATTTTGGCCTAACCGCCGCGCCGTTCCAACATTCGCATCGGCATCGATCGATTCGTCGAGCGGCGACTCGCATTATTTTCGTCGTGTTGGCCTGCCTCGGCTGCACGCTCGGTTTATTGATCGGTTCTCGTATTGTATACATACGTGTCACACGTCGATACTCGATGTACGTACGTACATAATACGGACATTACTTCATTTCGTCGTTTGACCGACCAGGTTTTCAATATTCGTAATTTTTACGTTCACCCACAACTCCCGTCGAATATAATATAAAGCATCAATTTGAAAAAAATATTATCAATTCGATAAATTCCATGGATAGGCGTGGCAAGGGAAAACCACTAGTGACAAGCGGATGCGTTGCTAGTAGTGCCAAAACGTGTGCAACGGATTGCCTAAAAGGAATGCTACAATTTAATGGGCAGGAATTAAGTTTTTAATTTACCAAATAATTAAGTAGGTACCTACTACAGCAGTTAAAAACACCAAGGGGAAGTTACGGAGTCTCCCTTTTTATTTAAAGAAAATTTATCAATCCCCTTAAATTCAAGTCTTTGAAGTCTAAGACGCTTTAGTTATTGTGACTGAGACGTTTTTAATGAAATTCTCGCAAACTTATTAGTTTTATTAAAAATAAATTCTTTAATACCTATAATGTAATCAAACTCAGTTTTACATTATCTTACTGGGCAGTCATATACATAGAATAATATTTAATGTTTATATTTAAACCATATTAGTATAATATTTGTATGAACAAATGTGTGCAAAACAAAAATATTATGAAAGTCTTGTCTCCATGGTGGGTTTCTCGAAAGTGTGGTTAGGTTTAGTTAGTTCTCATAAACGCCTTGTAATTTTCAGTAAATATAGTCCTCCTTCACAGTTTTTCCCACTTTAACCATTGGGTATCTAAATTAAAAGATTATCATAAAAAACACCCATAAGCAGCTGACCTCTCCGTCACTAGAATTAAATTTTCCATATTTTTTATTATAGAATAGACTTGGACAACAACGAAAGATGATTTTATACTCCTAATATTACAGATAAAAAATCTTAAGAAATATATAAGGGCACACAGTAAACCTGTAGTCAGATTGGTATGAGAGAAAGAATAATGAAGAAATAAAAAAACTTTCAATATGCTAAACATAAAAACACGGTGTGAAAGTTAAAAGACCAAAGTGAGCTTGTCATGTATGGTGAGTAATGGATAAGATAATACATAAGATATTAAACCACTAAACACTAAACCAAGTGGAAAGAGAAGAACAGATAGACCCACCAAAAATGACTTGATAAAGTGAACAAAGATTTGGAAAACCTTAGAATGATGGAAATTGAAGGTGTGGATGATAGAAAACAGTGGAGAAACTTGGTGGAAGTAGCAAAAGGCCATCTGTAAGCCTAGAAAAAACAAAATAAAATCAGACGTACATCTTTAACATTTGTTATAACTTTTAAATATTTTTTATTTATATACATTCAATATGATATATAATACCTAAGGAAAATTAAAAATATATGGTAAAAACAAAAAACATGATTATTTCACCAAACTCTTATTTGCACAAACAGATAAAAATCATAACTCAAAAATTAAGAATATATATAAAATATCTTTAATAAAAAATGAAAAATAATAATTATAATAATAAAACAAAGAAAAACTAATATAATGATTTTGCTAAAGTTGTTATTATATAACAAACAATATTAAAATATATATGGCATTCAAAAATTAAGTATAATTCTAAAAATGTAAATGTTTTAATAACTCACTGTTAATTAACTATCACTAACAAAATTAAAATATATATTTATATATATATATATATGCTTACATTAATAGACTTTGTACAAAATATATATAATATTCAAATTACAATTTTCTTTGTTTTTGGAGTTTTCAAAGTATTTTTGCTTTTAGTTTTTTTGATTCCTTTAACATTATCATAAATTTCAATATTGTTTTGTATCTTAAAAGTTTTCTGAATATTACTTACACTTCTAGTACGATGAAGATGCTCATTATTTTCTTCTTCTTCGCTATCAATAATTTTTAGTTTTCTTTTGACTTTGGAATGAGTACTTTGTGTAGTTTTCACTTGTAAAGCCTGAATTGTATTATCTGTACATTTTTTGATGGACCTTTTGAGCACCTTTTTTTTTGCAGTAGTTAAACCTTAAAAAATATATATAATATATAAATGGATAACTATACAGAATTGAGGATTATTTAGTAATTACGTTTAAAAGGTGTTTTTTGGGAATGTAAAACAGCAAAATGTTCGTCTTGTACAATTCTTTCAATTTTTATAGATAATTCAGACAATATGTCTTTAGTTGTTGGTTTTGCTAATCTAGAACTGGTACTGATAATCAAGTTGAAATTATTATAAACTTTAGGATTTTTAAGTTTGTCAGTGTAATGATCAATTTTATCTGAAAGGTTAGTTAAGGTTTTGTCTGTAAATTTTAGACGTGTCAAACAGTAAGATATATAATTAGCTTGAGTGTCATCAAATGATTCTTTCAGTCTCATACATAATTTATCAATTAATGATTCAATTTGTCGTTCTTTGTTAATTAATGGTAGCAGATAACTATAAAATAAAATAATGTTGAATGACATTGGGTTATTAATATTTGTGTGCATTAAAATTTACTTCATAATTGTTATGAAATCATTTTCAGGTACTGCAGTTTCAGGATTAGATAATGTTGAAATAATATCTGAAATAACATTATAAAGACTGTTTTTTTTTTCAGCAATAGATCCAAAAAAGTTTCTTGCATCACCTATGAAAAGATACTTAAATAAAGTTGAATAATAATTATAAGACAATTATAAGCATACGTTTTATAGTTTCATTGTCATCAACAATTAGTCGAGCTATACCAGCAACCTGACCTCTAATTTTAAACATTTCTTGATTAATAAGATCTATAATAGTCTTAAAAGCACTATATCGAACAATGTAACGTTTATCTGTTAATCTTAAATAGAAAATACAAATTTAATTTATTTAATCCAAGATAGTTAATTATTTATTTAAATGTGTATACCGAGCATAAATTTTATCAGTAAAAGGTTCCATCAAATTTGGATGTCTGACAACCAACCAGCCAAATCCAATTATGAGATCAATAGTTTGATCACTGTTTTCTGTATTTTCCATCAAATTTAAAAAAACCTAAAACAAATAATAATAATAATAATAAATTTTAAATTATTTATATAATAAAATATTAAAATCAAACCTGTAAGTGATCTTGGCAAAACTTAGAGGAAACTATCATAAACTTGATCAAACTTAAAATAGCACTTCCCTTCAAGTCTGAATAGTTTGATTCACATGATTTTATTATATATTTTCTGTAAACAATAATATATTGTTATATAATACTATAACTTGTAGATATTAGTAATATAAAACTTACGAAAAATATGAAAGTAGTCCAGTTCCACAAACCAATCTTCTTTCATAAACATTTCTGATGTGATTATTTAAAACTTCTATTTCAGCTGCTTCAGAATCGTACATACTCTAAACAAAAAAAATATTTAATTTTTTTAAAAGTACTCATACAAAAACAAATTTCATATTTACTTCATTTTCTTGGTTTTTGCTCATATTTAATTTTATAGTTTGGTATTTAGTTCTTACACGTTGAGTCAATTCATTTAATACATAATTTTCTAAATAGAAATACTGCCTGCAAATCAAAGTTTTTTTAATAATAATTACAATATAATTTTATACATATTTAACTAATGAATAAAATCAATTTAATATACTCTAATGCTATTTGACCGATGATGTAAATAAATTTTGATAACAGGTTACAATTTATATTAAAATTCTTGTCATTTTTTTCAGTTGAATCTAAAAAAAAAAAAAAAATCATAAAATTCAATTAAAAAAAAATAAATATTATTGTAAAACCAATAAATTTCTAGCTCTGCTCAGAATCTAAAAGTTGTGATAAAGTATTTAGAGATCTACGAATACAAATTGTATTGTAAAACTTAGTCCTGACTAATATTTTCATATAACATATTTGACACAGACAATGTTACTTTCTTAACAGATAATAACTTCGAGCAGTCGGGTTTTACATTTTGACAAGTAATATAAATGATTATGAATTATCATAAAATTCCAGGCAACGAATATTTTATTTATATATTTACTTACAAGTATTAACTATTTTAATAATTTTGTTTTTGTTTTTATTTTATTATAGAAAATAACTTTTTTTTTCTTACCACATTTAATTTTTTTCATCATAAGCATATCAAACAATGTCTTTATCAATGCCAAACACGTAACATCTGGTTTGACTGTCAACTAAAATATAAAAATTGTTAATAGTATTTTTTTTTTATTATTATTTAAGGATAATATCTTATAATGCTACTCACTTTATATATCATATGAACAGCATTTGTAGCAACATCATTAAATATTTGAACATTGCATTCATTGTAACTTTTTTTTACTACACATATTATGTTATGAACAATTTTATGCTTTGCATGGAATCTAAATATTAATATATGTATTGCAAATTAAGATATTTTATTAGTATATTATACAAAATTAATTACCTGGTAAAATCTTCCTGTATGCCTTCATCCAATATTTGGCATGTGTAATTAAATAATGGATAGACATCACATAACCCGTACTCAATAAGAAGGTCCATGTTTCCTCTAACAATCCCAGGTTTTGCACTAATACAGATTTTAAGAGTAAATTATTTTGAATTTCCACCAATAAATATAATACCATTAATTATTAATGAACAAGGTAATTATAAGAACAAGTTTATTTTAGATTTTTAGAAAATAATTGGTATTTTTATATCATTGATAAATTAGTAAGTATAATAAAACATAGAGAAAAAGTTTAATATTGAGAAGTTAATTTTTTGTCACGGGCGATAATAATAATAATAATAAAATTTATAATTATTATACTTATAATACCATGTCTAACATTGTATGCTCAGAGCTGCTAATAATAATAATTAATCCTAGGGCCACTCAACTACTATTATCTTAACATTTCTTTTCAGCTATATGTATAGTTTGCACCCTACTTTTTGCTTGTAATAAGTACAACTTATGTAGGTATACTAGCTTTTTGATCTTGTTTTATTTTTTTTATTGATTTTTAATCAGTTATCACACTCACTTAATATTATATCTGTATTTGTAATATTGCCGCTTGATGTTTAATAAATAATTACTTAAGTTTACAGAAATGCAATTAATTTGTCTACTTTATTATAGTATTTGTATATTTTTTTTTTTAATGAACTAGTTTTAACTTTATATATAGGATCAAAATAATTTTTTAAAAAAAAATATGTGTAGATAAATATCAAATATTGAATTGAACCAATATTTTAGATTCTGAATGAAGCAAAAAAAGCTTTTGGTTTTACAATGATGATTATTTTTTTTTATCTGAGTGCGACTTTTCTACCAGAAATCTTGCTTCAATTTTTAAGTCTCATTTTTTCAATTTTTCCAACAAATTAAAGATACCACAAAAACGGTGAAAAAATGAGAAAATCGTAGGAAAAACCGGAAAATAGATACAATATTAAACAAATATAATAAAAAAAAAAATATATATATACAATGTCTATGTAATTATTTTACCATAATATGGCATATATATTGTTAACAAAGCAACACTATCAACTGAATTCCTCTCAGAATCGTTTTTCGTTAGTAATCATTAGGTCTGACAAAAAGAAGGGCACAAGAATTACAAATGTGGTATCCTATAGTAGTAGATTATGCCTTGTTAAAATGGAATCAACACCAATCAATTTAGTAATTATACAAGTTTACATGCCTAAATCAAAAGCAGATGATGAAATGGAAGACGTGAATGCAGGCATTGAAGAACTGATGAAACATACCAAACTACATGATAATGTAATTATCATGGGGGATTTTAATGCTATAGTTGGTGAAGGCAAAGAAGGCAGAGAAGTTAGAAATTTTGACTTACGCAAAAGAAATAAAAGAGGGGAACAAATTGCGGAGTTCTGCAGAGAAAATGGGCTAGTTGTAACAAATACTAGATTTAAAAATATTAAGAAAAGAATTTATACATAAAAAATGCCTGATGATATTGCCCGTTATCAAATAGACTACATATTGGTGAAAAATTGTTTTAAAAATCAAGTAAATTTCTGTAAAGCACACCCAGGTACTGATTGTGACAGTGATCACAACTTAATATTGATGGAATGCGAACTCCGATACAAAGATTGCAAAGACTAAAAGAAAATCATAACAAATATGTAGCTATAGCAAAAAAAAAAAAAAGAGGAGCAAGTTCTAAATTAACAAGACTAAATATTGGAATTAAAATTGGAGGGCAAAATGTCTCAATGATAAAATTTTCAAATGATATTGTGATGATAGCAGAAAGTGAAGTTAACATACAGCGTGCAGTGGATGAAATGACTAAAATGCTTAGAATATCAGAAATGAAAATAAATAGCAAAATAACTAAGATTTTAGTATGTGCCAGAGACCCAAAATTAAAAGCCGAGGTAAGCATAGATAGTAAAGAATTAGAGCAGGTAGAGAAAATGGTGTTTCTTGGGAGCAAAATAACATCTGATGGTAAAAGCACCAGAAAAATCAAGAAACATAAAATATTCACGTCGGAAAAGTTGCAACTCAATATCAAAAAGAGGCTCATCAAAACATATATATGGAGTGTTGCAGCATATGGAAGTAAAAAATGGGTCATAAAAAATGACAAAAAGAAAAAACTGGAAGCTTTTGAAATGTAGTGATGGAGATGTATGGAAGGGATAAGTTGGATGAAGAGAAAAACAAATGAAGAAGTACTAAGAACAATAAAGAAAAAAATAGATATTCATATACAATGAAAAATTATTGGACATGCCCCGAGACACCCAGAAGAACTGCATAATCTAATAAAGGGTATGATAGAGGGAAAGAAAACAGCAGGATGCCCTCAAATCTCATATACAGGACAAATAAAGTGATGCAAGGGTAAAAAACGTTTAGAGAAATCAAGGAAAAAGAGAACAATCTATTAGAATGGAGAATGAGAGTTGTAAAACAACCTTAAAATTCATTTGAAAAAAAAAAAAAAACAGATATACAGTCAATTTCTCCTCCACTATCTTCCCAACTTCTCATCTACAACAGTGGCTGCACCAGAGTGTAAAGCATGTCCGTCTTTTTATTCATTTATTTATTTATTAACCAATGTAAATTTGGGATCACGAAACAAGCTCTAAATGTTGCAATTCAGCAATGCATTAATATTGATGGTTTTATAAATACTAAATATTAATACAAAATATTTATACCCAACAATTAAAGACATGAAAAATGCAGCAAAATATTTATTTTCAATATGTTTAGTTGCAGATTTAGTAATCCATGACCATAATAACATAATGCAATCATCATCTAACGTTTTATTTTTTATCCATTCAGCTAGTAGGATTTTGAATGCTTCTCTATTAGTAATACTTAAAGTTTTTACTAAATTTAAAAGTTTTGTAGTAATCTGAAAATAAATAATTGTATTAAATAATAGTTTTAACATATAAAAAAAAAAAAGTTTATATTACTTCTATAGTTCGTTTTTTAGGTTCTTTAGCTTTTATAGTGTCCAAATAAATTGTTTTATAAGAATTTATTACAGCTTCTTTAACATTAGTATCAGACGAGTGTATCAATTTAAGCATACAATTAATTCCATATTGACTATGAGGAACACCAAATAGATAAGCTGTTGTAAAGAATTCAATAGCTTCTATTGATTCTGTTGTAGTATTCCAAAACAATTTAGAAATAATATCTAATGATTTCCTTATAATATTTAAATACTCGAAACATGCCTGTAAATTGCATTATTCAAAATTTAATTTTAATTTTTTTTTTTATTATACACACAAATGCATTGAATTGTTAAATATTAATGTAATTTTGTAATTATTAGTTTTATCTTAATAAAAAAAAAATGAATAGCTAAGAATAACCAAAATTTAAATACAAAACAAATGATACTACGAGGTCTCAAATAAATTATAATTGATGTTTAATAGTGATATTATAAAAAAAAATGGTTACCTATGATATATCAATTATCTTGATGAATAGAGGTGAACCTCGGGTATACAATATTAGTGTATGATAAAATACAGTTTTTTTTTTTTTAAACTCAATATTTAAGATATGTTGATAATTTTTAACGTACAACAAATTAATTCATAATAAAATATATTTTTAATTATTTATTTAAAAATTACAGTGATATAGTTTTTAAAATTAAATGGTATTCTAAATCAAATGAAGTAGAATTAATACTGTTTTAGGATAACTATAATGGTATATTGTTAATCATTAAACGACTTAAACAAAAAATGTAATTATAAATAAATATATAATGTAAAGTTGAAACTTTTAGGGGAAACAACCTTAATTATAAAATTATAGTGTTGATAATGGTTAAACTATAAACTGAAATACATTATAATCCAATTTAGTACAATATATTACTCAAAATACCTGAATATATTCAATTTTAGATTGTGTTAAAATAATTTGTAAATTTAGTTCTTCCAAAGTCGTATTTTTAAATTCTTCTAAGTTATTTGGCACAACTGATGTGTTTGCATTCTTACGAAACCAAATATTTTTCAGAAGTGAAACAAATTGTATTGATAGGTTATCCTCATTTTGTAGTCTGAAATTAAATATTTTTACTATTTAACAAATAAATGATAAAAAATCTGTAACTTTCTTAAAATTTTACAAAAAATATTAAAATGAACACAAAAATAATAATAATATTTATTAATAGGTAGTATTAATTATTAACAATTGTCTGTCAATCCTTTCTAAATATACATCATAGTATTTGGTAAATCCTAAATAACACCAAAAGATAAATATTAGAATAATTGTATTTGTGAAAAAATGTATATAATCTTTTATTACATCATATTATTTATGTAATTTTGGTTGTACTTTTGACTGTATTTGAAATTTCAAATAGTTTATAGGTGAATAATAAAAAAAAAAACATTTAAAAAAATGTACACTAGTGTTACACATTTCTGAGATATTTAGTTTATACATATTATCTAGTTATAAAGCATACTTAAATAATGATTCATTCTTGAAAGTTACTCTTCCACGTAATACAAATTCCACAGCTTCTTTATATTTATGAAGGGCAATATAGTTTTTAATCTTTACAATAACTTCAGATAATTCTATATCATTGAATACTTGAAGATGACTGAAATTCTCTAAACTGTTATCTAAAACCCATTTATAATAGATTAAAAAATAAAAACTGAAATCTTTATGGAACAATCAGACAAGTCAACTTTTTTTCAAAAATCAGTTTTTTGCAAATTGGATTTCTTTTTTTATTCCTCTTCAGTTGTGTGTAAGAACTATTTGAGTTTTGATTTAAGATTTAATATAGACAAAATGAACTTGGCTGAATTAATATTCTTTGCACAAAACCAAACAATGCAAATGGATTTTTCTTCCCCTGATTAATTTTAATAAGTCTATTTGTCTGGTTGTCCACAATTCCCATAAAAAAAAATAAATAATTTTAGACTAAAAATTTAAAAAATAGACATCATGCATTTTTTTTTTTACCGTTTACCAGTGATAATGAAAATTAAGAAACTATTTTAAATTTGTAATAAAAGTTAAAAGAATATTTAATATATTAACCTTCATTAATATTAAGGTTCAATAACTTACTTTCAAAAAAATGATCTAAAAATGATGTTAAATCCATCTCAATTGTTGGCCACATGTTTTCATTAATATCAGAATGTAATTTAAATTCAAGCACATGTTTAATATTTTTTAAAAGACAATTTTGTTCTTCCATTTGAATATTCAATTGCTTTTCTGAAAACTATAAAAAAGTTATTAGGGAATCTATTCAACTTAATAACAAGGTTGTTTTGGTATTACATCACAACTATATGGGTTTAGTTTGATTAATGTTTTGATTAACTGAATAGCACTTTTTATAACATATGAACTTTTGTCATTTAGTTTTTCCACTGCACATCTTAATAATATTAAGTATTTGTCTTTTGGCAAACAGTTTTCATTTATTATGGAAGCAAGCAACTGTAACGTCTAAAAAAATTATTTGATTAAATAAAATAAATTATAAACATTAAACTTACTTCTTAACTTATAATCACCTTAGACCTAACAAATGCATTAATATCCAATAAATGATCTTGTAAAATTGATATATAATTATCTCTTGTTTTTCGTTTAAATTCGTCCAAGTTACAGTTCAAAACATTCACAATAAGTTCTTTCAGTACAGATAGGATACAAATTCTCATAGTATAAGGCTGAAATAAAAATTTCATTAATAGATTAACTATATAATAGACTCTTGGTAATCCGGCAGATATCAGATCAGAGGACTGTCAGATTTACAAAAATACCAGATTAATGAAGGTTTACATAAGAACACATTTTTAATTATTGAAAATATTAATTTATTTTATAAAACATAAAAATAATACACACATACTAATTTATGACTGTGTTGAATAACTCTTTTGATGGGACAGTTTTAAAAAATTTTCAATTTGTTTCTGTTTTATACTTGAAATTATGCTTTTAAAACTTTTTCTTAGTCGTTGCACCTTGCATTTACTCCATTTTCTTCTACCCATGTAATAGTCATAGTAAAGGAATCTATTGCATCGGAATGAATTATTGCTTGAACAGCTACTGTTCCTCCTCATAATCATCATTCCAATCATTTTCAGTCATCACTTCCTAATTGTCCCTTATGTCGTCATCTGTCAAGAACTGGATGTTTTCTTTTTCCTCACTGTTGATCCACTTCCTTGTGTTGTTCGCATGAGTTTTTCTACAACCAAAACTTGTAGCTGATGTAACATCCTATTAAAATTGTCTTCATCATTGTTTTATATTTTTTTAAATAATTTTTTTCAACACATTTTTGGCCATTTATTATTTCATGAACAATCACCTTTTTGCTTACATCTTACAAAGCATTTGCAAGGAAAAAAATCTACATTTTTTAAAAATTTAATCACAATCATCTTAAGATAAAACCATGTACAACAGGCTCTTTTTATACTGCATTTTAATTGTCTGAATAACATTCAGATCCATTGGTTGCAAAAGTGGTGTAATATTAGGTGGTGGAAACATGTCACTTATTTTGAATTTAAATTATCTATTGATGGCCAGGGTAACTGTTTAATACAGAAAAATGTGTTTTGGTAAAAACACTAAATGAACCACTTTTATTTGTGTTGTAGACATGAATAATTTTTTAAATTTTTTTTTTCATGTTCAACACTATAACATCATATGATCATTTTTTTTTCCTGTCATACTCAATAGTCTCAGACCAAAATGATTTTTAAATTTATCAGGCCAGCTATCACTATCTTGAAAATCATCTTTGTGTGTGATTTTTTATGTAGAAAAACTTGGCGTTTTCCTTCAACAATAGGTGTATGTCAATTACGTTCTTGCAAAAACCATAAATAAAATTTGAGCTATGGAAAACTCACCAGTTTTTAATGTTTTGCACATACTTCTCAATCTTTTCACTGTTTTTTTTATATTATAAATTGTAGCACGGCGTACTTCAATTTCGTTAGTGTGGTGCACTAATTTGTTACCTTTTTCTATTTTGTTTAAAATTCCTAGTTTCTCAATAGGTAGTTTTCGTTTTCTTTGTTACAATATTTTACAAAATAAACACACACAACATGCAAACGTTAACTGAATGACAATAAAATATTTAATCAGTTAGTTTTATAGTTTATGATAATAATTTTATGGCTATTATAACGAAAGAATAAAAATAAAATATAGCCGGAATACTAGGTGCACAGGATTACCAAATGGCCAGATTAACGAGAGTCTACTGTACTAGCAATACAATTATCATAACTATTATAATTTGTATTTCTAATACATTTATTAATTTAATTAGGCATTGAAAATAATAATTATAAAACAATATTACTTACATCACTTTCCAAACAGGGTAATAAATTATCAACATTTGATAATAACAATTGAGGACAATGTTTGGCAATTTCCACAAGAAAAACACAACAAGATTTACCACCAGTTATTTCTTGGTTACTGGAATTTTTCATACCTTCTATTATTCCCATATCTGCAATTTCTTTTGTAATTAGTTCAATTAATGAAGAACGATTGCTTCCAGATTCAAGTATTTGTATTACAATTGTAGCTAAAGGTATTGATAAATGTTCATGTTTGTTCAGCAGCTAAATAAAACAAATTTACTTTCAGAACTTTTTTCTTTTAAGGTTCTACAAAAATAGAAACATTTACTTATTTGTTTTAAACTAATATTTTTTTAAAACTATATTGAATTTTACTTATGAGGGATACATTTTTCCTAATACATGTTACTAATTTAATATAAATTATATGCAATAAAACTTTTAATTATAATTGACAAGTGTAATTTTAATAAAATATAATATCATTAAATATGAATTTATTGAGAGGGGATCAGAATACACCCACGGAACTTCAACCTGTAAGATGCGACAAATGGGGATGCGTTAAGTCAATAATCATAGAAAAAATCTGTCAAATAGTATGAGGAGTTCTAAAGAAAACTAAAATAGACTGACATGGTTTGGGTAAGTATCATGGCGAGAGAGGAATCTGAAGCATTAAAAATTATTATTAAATTATATATAGAAGGAAAAGGAGAGAAAGACTGAAAAAGATAACTGAATACAATTGATAATAATATAAGGACAGCCAGTGTATGTGATGAGATGGGAGATCGAGTCAAGTGGAAGTTCAAAATAACCCCTAATAGTTGGGATGAAGGTGAAAAAGATAATCATATTAAATACAATACCATAATATTGAATGTTACCATTACTTAATCAAAAAAGTTGTATTTGTTGTACTTATTTTTTACTAATATTTAGAAATGGACTTATAATTTATATTTTTTTGGTCAATTGACATCAAAATGTATTGAATAAAAATTCAAATTTATAAAATAATTATATTATTACATTTTATTATTTTTACTAGAAATTTCTAAAAATAGTAATATTGTATACATTTTAAAACATATTAAAAGAGTCAAGTTTTACTTTTTGACTGTGATTTTACCTAACAATGAATTTGTATTTCTAAACCGGCTGTACAAATACACATATCATAATACTCCAGGTGACTTATTCATTTATGTATTTATATATTTATTAAACAGTATTTATCAGTTGTGGATTATGCATTAATTTTAACTTTAACTTTTAAGTTGGTTATAGAAATGTAAAATATTATAATATTCTTATAAAAATAAAAATATTGAATAACAAAAACGATAGAATTCATAAAATATTTAGGTATACATTTATCATTTATTTATTTAATAATTGACTATATTTTAATTAATACCCCAACCATCTTATTAATACTATTTTGAATATTTTAAAATTATTCAGTTTTAATAATTATAACTTGAATGGAAGTCAGTATTGGTAACCATTGGTTGTTTTTATTTGAAATAAAGTATACAGTGGAACCTTGATAAGTCAACAATTCAAGCGAAATGTAATTTTTTTTATCTTAATATTATAAATATTATTAATAAATGAATATTATAAACTTATCAGTTTTAGGAAAAAAATTATAATGCTATAGTTTTTAATTATTAATAACAGTGTGTATTTTAGATTCTGAGTGGAACGAGAAATGTATTGGTTTTACTATGATGTTAATTTTTTTTTTTACGTGAACACTATTTCTACCAGAAAGCATACTTTGATTATCAAGTATAGCACCTTTTCTGAAAGGAAGTTTTCCCTGGGTAGTACTTTAGAAAGGTCATTTTATGAAATTCTCATTAATATTCGAGATAATGAGGAAAACCTTGGTCTTAAGGTTAATAAAGATTGAAAGATAAAAATAAGGTTTTAATTTGCAACCGTTTTTATTTTAATATTTTTTAAACAATCGTTGTCATGGAAACACACATGGTTATAATTATTTTACAATGGTATGACATATATTGTATTGTTGACAAAGCAATATTATCAACTGAACTCTGCTTAAAATCGTTTTTTCATTAGCAATGGTTTATCATTGCTTACAGATATACATTAAATACCTGTTTGTAGCCTGCCTTTCCACCTACAACAGTGGCTGCACCCACATGCAAAGTATGTCTATCCTTTTTATTATTATTTTAAAATTGTACTACTAAAAAACTTATGATAAAAAAGTGATTAAATAATTAATATTAGTAAAAAAAAATTATAATAAAAAATATATGCATTATATTATAGTGCTGCAATTTTACAACATATAATATGTTACCTTACTTTGACTTACGAGTTTGAGAGCCCATGTTATTATTATATTTAATTAACATTTTTAATAACATATTTGATACTATTATCAATAGTATTTTCTACTACATTTAGAATGAAGTTCATTCACTAGATATCATCCACATTACTTGTTATGTAGATATACCCAATTAAGTTAAATTACGAGACACGCAAGTCGATTAGACAAATAATTATACAAATTATCAGTCATTATTAGTCTATATTAGGAACATAGAAAATTTGATTTATCTATAGTTTTTCTTTCAAGTAATCAGGGTTTTCACAAGGGAGCGACATTTATTTTGACTTGTTAAGGTTTTCAACTTATTGAGGTTCGGCTGTAATTTACTCATATAATAAAAATAATATTATAATTAGTAATACTTACTTTAACTGCAGTGACTTTAAATTGTTGTGCATGGTCATAATCAATAACAAGTGTTGATAACACATGTAAAATAATGTCACGAAAACATTTGTTTTTTACAAAAGCTATACTTGGATTTTCTAACTGAGTATAACATAATGAAGCTAAATACCTAAAACATATGAAAAAATAAATAATTCTGTCAAATGATAATATTTATTTTTATTCTACTTACGATATAAAAGTATGATCTATATATGGAGGATCATATAACTGAGTAATGTTATTTGAAATAATGCTATAAATTGCCGTTAAGCCCTCGCGTAATTTATCTTCCCAATTCCAATTATATTTAGAATTATGTATTTGAATTATATCTTGTTTTTTACTTTTACCCTAAAAGTATTGTATACAAATATAAGTTATAGACTTATTTATCAATAATTTAAAAGAAACAAATTTAAAAAATAATACTTTTGATTCAATTAATACTAATTTGTATTCGGTTTCAATTTTTAAGTTAAAACTGTGAACAAACTCAATGAAAATATAAACATTCATTTTTATAATATTTGTATATTGGTGTCGTATATTTAATTGAATGTCTTCAATACTTCCATAGCTCAGAAAAAATGATCCTAAAATATTTAAACCTGAAAAATAAAATCAATAATTTCTTAAATATCCAATTAAGAAAAATAAAAGTAAACATAATAATTATATATGTTTTTAGAATCAAAGCACGTTTAGGAAGCATAAAACTTTATAATGATAAAACAATTTTCCCCTTTTTTTAAATAACTGAATTAATAAATAGAATAACAAGAGTTCTCAATATTAGAATATTATGCAATGACTATTGTAATATACTATAACAATAAATTAGATAAGCATTCTCAAATGATTTAAAAATTGCATGGAATGTTAACTTTTCATTTACAGACTATAGTTTACAAATTTGTTTAAATTAAATATTTACTCCTTCATTCATCATAACTAGAAAGCGGATCTTTAGATTTTTAAAAGTTTAAAATATGATGCTAATATGCTCTAAAAAAATCTAAAAATATTCTTTTAATATTCCTTAAATATATAAAATGTGATAAAAATATGATTTGTTTTATTTAAAATAATTTAAAGAATTGTACATAAATTATAATAAGAAATATGTATTATATATTTGAATATATACTATGAATAGCCTGTATCAAATTTTACAATATTTACATTTACCATTCATATTGCACCTCGTGCTATAATAATATAGGTAGTCAAACCTTATAATCAACCTCAAAATATGCATTTACATGTGTTATTTCTTTGGTAAATTATTTAAACTCAGCTATATTTAAAAGATATATTATATATGATATATGAAATAGATGTTTCATAATATTATTGTTATATTTCAGTATTTCAAAAAATAAAATGAAAAACTAAACAATGTTAATGGTTGATCTGAATCGTTTTTATTATTTTAAACATTTGGTCATGTGTAATCATAATTCATAAATACTAAATATTATCTATCATCAAAATCTCTCTTTGATTTTGTTCATGATCCAAGAGAAATAGAGTGACTTCACCAATTTGACTAGAAATTGAATGATTTTTATCATTCTTCAATTAAATAAATAATAATAATTTTTTCCTACAATGAAAACATCACAACTCAAGAAATGAGCTAAATATATGATTTTTTTATGAACAACACTACAATACATTCTAAAATATGAAAACTGGGCTGAAAATTCTCCAATCTCCATAATATGCTCAAATATGCAGAATAAATTTTTTTCTGCAAATTATGTAATGGATTAATCATTCACATTTTTAATTCTTATTAAAATCCTGCATAAAGCCAATAAATATATGTAAAAGCTTAAAAGTCCGCACTCAAATTATAACTTTATAGTTCTTTATAATATATGTCATTAACATATTAAACAGATTCTAAAAAAGATATTTTAGATTAATGTTTCATAACTACATTTTTAATATTGATATAGTTGGAACATGTGTTATATAACTTGAAAAATGTCTTGTTGGGAAATAAACTTGAAACGATAATAGTACTATAGTAGCATACGTGGTAATTGGACTTTTAGGGGAGGGGGATATAATATCTAAAATCAAGTTACTTAACTTCTACCAGTAGGGAATGAATATGCAAGAATTACAAAAACTTAATTTTTAGCTCCGAATGTGTTTAACTGTTACTGTTTAATGAATTTAAACAGTAACAGTTAACTGTTTGTACGTTTTTTTTATCAGGTATGAGAAAATCTTTAAATTTGTTTTGCAAAAATAAAATGAATGTTATTCAATAGTTATTTGTTTGAACTTTAATTACATTTAATAATTATTCAATAAATATAAATTTGAAGTCACATAAAATAACTTTTATTTTTAAACCTAAACTTGTTTGAGTTATTGATCATTAAATCAAAATAAATATTAAGAATATGTTATCTTTTAATTTAAATTGAACATTGCTGAACCTGGAAAATGCAGATTAACTTGACGTTTTTATTAGATTTAAAAATAATTTACAACTCAAATAAATTAAACTGAAGATTAATACAAAATCTAACTTACTTTTAACAAGAATTTCTTCATAAATGTAGTGCAAATCATGGTATTCAACTTCGATCATAGACACAATTATTGAGAAGAGCTTATCAAAATCATTTAGTATAAATGATGCACCTTCTGAATTCAAATTTTCTTTACATTCTACAATTTCAAACAAACAAATTAGAATTTTTTATTCTTAAAAAATATTATGGATATAGGTTTCACCTTTTATAGCTCGTTTAAATTGTTTGGGTATCAGTTTATTTTCCACTCTATATTCTGTTGCAGAAGGTCTTAGCAATTCATTTCGGTCAGTATAAATGAAAAAATCTTTATTATTCATGATAAATTAAAATGTTGATATTAATGTAAATGTTTAGAACAGATATTAGTTTACATCTGTGATTTTCACAAAGTTAACAATTAAAATCTGATTTTTAGCAGATAATTAACAAAAAGTACGTTATTTTTCAATGTTGTTTATTACTAAAAACCGCCATCCTTATTGTTATCCTTATCATATTACTAGATGTCAGATAATAAAATCATTGTAGCCAACTGTTTCAAAAAATCTATTTCAAGAATAACTAGGTGATGAAGAAAACCTATGATGAGGGGACCAAGAGCAAAATTCATCAACTAATCAGATCGCTCATAAATCGAATATATATTTTCACTGTCTTATCACGCGCGCTTATAGTTTTTAAGTTTGAACTATACGTTTGCATTTGAACATTTTTAGTGGTGTTATAATGTTTTAATTAACGTTTCATTTTCATTTTAATTATGATGAGTATCTGACAGAAGATACAACTGGAGTCAACATTGATTTGACAACAGGGATTAAATGTCTAGACTATAAAAATTATTAATTTATACAGAGTATTCAAAATTATATGTTAAATTTTTTTTATATCTAGGTAAATAATAATGAATAATTGTTGTATATAATTGTATTTATTTTATCTGAACAAAACCTGATTAATAATAACTTTTAAATTAACATAATAAAGAGATTGAAAAAAATTGATTCAAATTAAAAAAAATATATCTAATATCACTTCTATAATGGGTATATTATAATAATTATTAATCTTAATACAATCAAGTAAATAATCCTTTTTTTTCTATTTGTCTTTAATTATAGTCTTAAAAAATAAACTAATAACACTTATGAACTAATAATAATAAGAAATAATATGCAAATTCAATGTACTTTCCTATATTTGGTAAAGAATTACTAGTTTAGTGTGAATGGTCATTAGTATTATGAATGTTTAATATTTTACGTTCAACACCGGTGGCTGGAAGTTTTAAAACTTTGCTCGTTCATCAGCAGTTAATCTACATCTACCTAAGTTAGGCCCACATCAAAAGTTACTAAAATAAACGTTGATTCCATTTATATCTTCTGTCACAACCTAAATAATTTTAGAGGAAATTTATTATTAGTGGAAACTGGAAGGCCATATTTTATGGTATTTCACCATATTTATTATTTAGTATTTACCATTGATGACGTGCATGTTGAACCTATCTTATTGCTTCCTTGGCTTTTAATGCGCTTGACACCTCGTGATTTACTATTAAAGTAACCACTACGATGACAATAATAATATGTTTGTTTCGCATTTTTAAGACAAGCGGTTAATTTGGAAACATGATAAAACGCTCTCTTTTTCAATCTTCAGTGTCCAATCCTTAAAATCTATAAAAAAAAAAATATATTTTTAGTCAACAGCTATACACTATTTACACTTTTTATGTAACTACATCAAGCTAATATGTACCATTCAGAGTTTTGAAGTAATGACGTTCTTTACTTATAATAATTTTATGGAAATCTTTGACATGTTTTCTTAATAAACTATATCCGGTGAATAATAATTGTCCACACTTATAGTCTGGACATTTAATTCCTGTTTTATTTTCATTATTATTTACTATACCACATTTATTTTCATGTGATAATAAATTCCCACGGTACCCAAACACTTTATAACATTTCAAATACATAAAAGAAGACGAAGACATTGTAAAATAATAGAAAATAATATGAAATGTTAATTAAATGCAAACGTATAGTTCATACTTAAAAAATAAAAGCGCGCGTGATAAGACAGTGATAAGATATGTTCGATTTATAAGCGATCTGATTGGTTGATGAATTTTGCTCTCGATCCTCTCGTAAATCTATGTGATATATCCACTACACGGTTTTGTTAGGTTATTATTAATAAGTCTATGTATCACGGTAGCACAATTCATAAAACTCACGGAGAATAAAATGTAAAATGATAATAACATACTATATGGTATGAACTGTTTTTAATTTGTTTAATCTTTTGTCTACGAGATTTTATTACTTGGCTTGGTTAGCAATAGTTAAAAAATAATTTGATTCTATTGAACTAAAATATAGGTACCTATTTCACATTATAGAATTACTTATACTTACAAAGTAAACATTTTCATTTATGAATATTTTTCAATATTTGTTTGTAAATTAATGGTGACATCATTTATCTAGTTTATATTAATATATGATTGTTTAATTTTTGTTTATACTCAGGTAATTTATCAATATGGCATCAACTTCAAGAGATTCCCAAGAAACCATTGCCAAAAAGACTTGGGAATTGGAAAACAACGTGCAAACTATTAACACAGTTGATGATATATTTAAATATGACAAACAACAACAGCAAGATATTTTGACTGCTAAACCTTGGGAAAAAGAGTATGTTTCTATATATTCTATCAATTATGCCCATTATTGTGTTTTAATGATAATTTTGAATGATAGGTATTCATAGATTCTGACTAGAGCTAGGAATGTATTGGTTTTTTTGCAATGATGCTTATATTTTTTCTGAATAACTTTTCTAGCAAAAATGTTCCTCCAATTTTCAAGTGTAGCACTTTTTATAAAAGGAAATCTGATTGGGGTGATACTTCAGGCCGTCATTTTTTGATTTTCCCAGGAGTTCATAATAAATGAGAAAAATCAAGAAAATGTATGAAATGTACTATTTTCAAACTGTAAATATTACGGCCTTTCAAAGTGTAGGTATAACTGAACTCTGCTCAAAATTGTTTTTCGTCAGGAATGATTAAACGTTGTGTACAGATTTACATTTAAATTCTTCTCGACCTTTCCAACTTCTCACTTATCCATCATTTGAAGTATGTCCATTTGTTTATTAATATTGATTGTCAGTTATAAATATTTGAAATAAAAATAACAATTTCTTAAACCATCTACACTATTAGAAACAGTTACCTATTATAATATTTAATTTAATTTATTATTTATTTTTACAGTCCACACTATTTTAAAGATATAAAAATATCAGCATTAGCTTTACTAAAAATGGTAATGCATGCTCGATCTGGTGGTATTTTGGAAATAATGGGTTTGTTACTTGGAAAAGTAGAAGGCAATACTATGATTGTTATGGATTCTTTTGCTCTACCTGTTGAAGGAACAGAAACTAGAGTCAATGCTCAGGCTCAAGCATATGAATATATGACTGCATACATTGAATCTGCTAAAGTAGTAAGTTTATACTTTATAGATATTATTGATTTAATTCTTAAATTCATATAAAAACCTTAGTTCGATTTAAATTTTTTGATTTTTTGGTACATGAAAATCAAAATACCTTGCAAGAAATTAGCCTACTTATTTATTTAGTTTCCCATCGCTTGACTTAAACTAGCAATATCTATAGTAATTTTTAAATAATAATTTAAAAGTACGTATATTTTGTTTTTTAACACATTACATTTAGATGATATATTATTATATTATTTTTCAATTAATTAATCACTGTTGTATAAAAATATTTTAGGTTGGACGTCAAGAAAATGCAATTGGATGGTATCATAGCCACCCCGGTTATGGATGCTGGTTATCAGGTATTGATGTTTCAACACAAATGTTGAACCAAAATTTTCAAGAACCATTTGTAGCGATTGTAATTGATCCAGTTAGAACAATTTCTGCTGGTAAAGTTTGTTTGGGTGCTTTTCGAACTTATCCTAAGGTATTTTTTTAATTATATTTATTGTAATATTATATAAATAATATAACATACAACATTGATAGGGTTATAAGCCTGCAAATGAAGAGCCGTCTGAGTATCAAACTATTCCATTAAATAAAATCGAAGACTTTGGAGTGCATTGTAAACAATACTACTCATTGGAAGTAAACTACTTTAAATCTTCACTAGATCGACGTTTGTTAGATTCTTTGTGGAATAAATATTGGGTCAACACATTAAGTTCATCTAGTCTAATTACCAATGCCGATTACTTAACTGGTCAGATTAATGATCTTTCTGATAAACTGGAGCAAGCTGACACTTCTTTGAGTCGTACATTTTTTGAGCCTACGGATCGATCAAAAGCAGAAAACAAATTGGTAAAAGCTACCAAGGATAGCAATAAAGCTACAATTGAAATATTATGTGGATTAATGTCTCAAACAATTAAAGAAGCTTTGTTCAACAGTTGTATACCAAAGAATAATCAACAGTAAAAACAAAAAATATGTATTACGAAATTTAAATTGATTTTATTTAAGATTAGAATTATAATAAATAAGTAAATTTTTTTTATAAGAATAAATTAATATCATTATAGTTAATATTTTTGTGTTTGTTCCTGATCCACAACTGTGTATTGAACTTTTGAGTCTATTACATGGAGAGATCTATATATTTTCATACAGAAGTGTATAAATGAGTTTATTCCCTGTGTATAATAATAATTTATATAAAAATAAATATTTAATAATTTATCGTATTAGTATCCAATGATTAATAAATGTGTAGTTTTATGTTCATTTAACATTATAATATGCATAAGTATGAGTAATAACCATGTAAGTGAACTTGTTTTAAACCGAGCTATATGTGTGTTATACTGATATACGTCATGTTTAGTTTTAGTGACATTGAGACAGATTATGATTATTCTATATTCAAATATGTAAATAATTTCAAATTTATTTACTTTCAGTGTTGTTTGCATATTAATTAAAAAGAATTTTCTCTTGCTAAAAAATAAAACAGTTCAATAATGTTGACAATATTTTGGTTTGATTGCGAATAGGTACATCTATATTCAATATAATATTTAGGTATTCACAATATTTTTCCTGTCTAGATATTTACAATAATTATAAAATAATTGCTATGTATACATATTTTAGATTCAAAGCAAAGGGTGGAATGTATTGGTTTTACAATGATGTCTATTTTTTTTTTCCTGAACAACTTCCTGGAATTTTGGTCTGATTTTCAAGTTTAACACCTTTAAAAAAGAAATTTGACTTATTCTTTATTTTTTAAATTTGATTTAGTACTTAAATGTCATTTTTTGATATTCCCTGGAGTTTTCCTAATAAAAGGGAAAAACCAGAAAAATAGGTACCTACAATATTAAGCAAATATTTTTAAAGAAGAAAATATTTAATGCATATTAAGTTATTATTTTTTGTATAATATGGTATGGATATATATTTTTAAAAAGCAACACTATCAACTGAACTCTACTCAGAATCATCATTCTTTAAAAAAGACAATATAGAATTATTTAACATAACATAATATCATAACTTCAAAAAGGTATAATTTCGAAACTCAGTCTGCTCAATTCTGACTTCATCATCGTTCTTAAATCTGCAATATACATATGTCCAAATCACAAAATCGTAAAATTAGATTTGTTCCACAAAATTTTTTATTCTAACTTGAACAATCAAAATTTGATATTAAAATATGTTTTACAATAATATAAGACTTTTAATGAACCTCTGGTTAAATTTTCTGTTAAGCCAAACAATTTCACCACACAGTATCTTCCAAATACAAATTATAAGAGAAAAAACTTTTATTTAAAAGCGAGCTATCCACCAAGTGGGTTGCCACTAGATAGCATTAATCAATATACAAATACATAGTACAAATTTTAAATATACAAAACAAATACACAATACTAAATTTACATTATAAATGGATAAACGCTAATAATTATCTAGTGTTTATAATTTAAACTATAATAATATACTAGATTACATAATGATAAAACAAAGAAAACCAAACTTGTAGCTACAAATACAAATGGTAATTAAACATGTATAGGGAGTATTTTAAAATGGACCGTCATATTTTAAGAAAGTAATCAGTAGCAAGGTTATACGAATGGAAGAATGAATTTAGGAATCCTGAGGATGTACCTCGAGCTCCAAACCAATGTCCAAATACTTCCCAACTTGTTATACCATATTGTTGCTAAAGCCATAGAATGCACGGTTTATATTTTTCTTTTCTTCTTCCATTGTACTGTCTTGCTGTGGATTATTCGTTTTCTCAACGAATTGTCAGATTCAGAATGAGACTACAGTGTTTACTCCTTTATTTTATGATGAAACTCCCAAAATTTAAATGTCTATAAATAGCTCAAAAATGGCTTAAATTAGTGCATGTTGCAGGTGCATTGCGCAAAGAATTTAATATGTTGAATGTTGATCAGTCGTTCAATGTCATTTTATTTAGATGTTATCACGTAATATGACAATGATAACACAGTATCACATAGTATTATTTCTTTGTATGGAGCCATTGATATTTTAAAAAACTTCAACGATTGTTGAACTAGGTATATTAAATTATTAATTTTGTTAGTAATCTAACAACATTATTATTTGTTAAATGTCATAGAAAACCCTATTTAAAATGGCCAATACCAATATTAACGTGAGTTTTGCCTGTCAACAGTGTTTGACTCCCATCCGACTAGACACCTCATATAATATTATCAGTGAACATACAATCGCTGAAGTTTCCTGTAAGTATTTGAATACATATTATTACTATAATTAATAATAATTACTAAATATTAAGATTTAATTCTATCAAACTTTTCCATGTTTGGGAATTGTTAGTACCTATTATTACATGTCCAGAAGTTGATCTTGAATCTCAAATAAAACATGTTGATCACATGATACCCGGGTTCCATCTAAATGATTCATCTAGCGGTAATAATGGATTTACAATATTGGGTGATAGAGAAGTACCAACACTTAGTCATAAAATGAAAGTCAGTATACAAAGATTAAAAACAATTGACTATTTTTTAATTATGATCATTAATTATCCTAGGTAACTGCTAATCTTTTTGATGTTGTATCTGGAAATTCAAAAGTAAATCATCCGTTATGTGATGAGTGTACTGATGTATTAATGGATATGATGGATGAAGAACTTCAACAGGCTGAAGCGGATTATATGGATTATAGTAACTACTTGAAAGAGTATGTACCTATAATTTTTATTTTATCTATATTATATTCAATTGACAATATTTTAATAATTAATTAAGACTTTCTACTGAAGAACCAGAAGACATGGATGCTTTGAATAAAGAGTTTGAAGATGTAAGTACACTATTATAAATATACATATTGTGTATATTTTAGATTCTGAGTGGAGCAAAGAAGTTTGTGGTTTTACAAATATGTTTTTTTTTTCTGTTAACAACTTTTCTACCGGAAGATTTACTCGGATGTCTATGTGTAGCATATTTTCTGAAAAGAAATTTGTGTGGAGAAGTACTTTAGGGAAATTATTTTTCGATTTCCTCCAGAGTTTTCTCATCAAATTTGAAAAACCAAAAATAATGGGAAATTATAAGAAATGTAGGTATTAGTTAAAATATATTTTGGACTTTTTTTGTGTGAACAAATTTCTACGAGCAATTTCGCTCCAACTTTTAATGATAGAAATTTTGTCAAGTGGAAATTTCTTTAGTGAGGTACTTTAAAGAGGTCATTTTTCAATTTTCTCAGGACTTTTCCCAGCAAATGTGAAAAACCAGGATAAACATGGGAAAATCGAGAAAAACTGCTAAAATTTGGTACAACATTAATTAAATAATAAAGAAAATATGTAAATCCTATTTAATTATTTTACCATAATATGATATATATATATATTATCGACAAGGTATCACTATCAACTGAACTTCGCTTAAAATCATTTTTTCGTAAGCAATGGTTTATTGTTGCTTACAGGTATACATTAAATTATCTATAACAGTGGCTGCAGCCATCCCCATTATCCTAGGACATCTTTTTTAATAACATATTGTATATTGTATCCTATAGTCAGTTGTATTTTATTTTAATATGAATAATCATAATTGATAAAAATTACAACACATCTTTGATTAAGAAGAGCTTAAATTAATTTTTAGAATTTGTTTTTTGTAACTTTTTCCTTTTATTTTATTTTTATCTAAATTGTATAACTATGTATTTTCAAAATTAAATTTGTTTATAATGAAAACTATGCAAAATTGACTTAAGCACTTCTTCCCTGGGACCAAAAAAATATATGCTTATAGTTGTTGAAAGAAGAAAAGAAGTTAATGAATGAACTATCCAACTTACAAGAAGCAGAAAATGCATTAGATAATGATATTAAAAAAGCTGAAACAGATAAAGAAAAATTAATTAAAGAAGAGGAAAAATATTGGAAAGAGTACAGTAAATATCGAAGAGATTGTATTCTAATAGAAGATAAACATAAAAGGTAATTTCAAATATATTTCGTACTACCAATATCTTATTGAGAGTAATGTAATAATTGAGTTTTTAGTATTTTGCTCTTTAATGTAGAATATGTGTATAAATTATAATTATGTATGAGCACTCACATACATTTTTACAGAGGGGGCAAAGAATAAGTACTTCGACTGTAGAAATAATTTTTTTATTATTAATATAGACATTTTTAATTTATATTTACTGTTTATATTTATTTTAAGTTAGAAATACAATAATTCTTAGTGACTACTAAAGTTCTTACATTGTTTTGAATTATAATTTATTATTTGAACAAAATATTTTTATAAATTATTATTGATTCATAATATTATATACTTATTCTTCTTTGTAGCTTTGTACTTGTGTTAGGCATAGTAGGCTATAGCTTACTATTTCCGTTCATTTCCCCTAGTTTTACTTACTTGCATGCTTTCAATGTGTCCATCCATTTTTAACTGAGGGTTGGCCTCTGGGTCTTCTGCCGCTAATTTTACCTATCATTTTTTGTTTGCAGATATGATTCTCCTCACATGTTTTGCCTATTTTATACATTTTCTACTGATAAATGGTTTTATGTTAGGTTTTTGAAATAGCTGGTAGATTATTTTGTTGTTTTTGTTGAGTATTCTCCATTTTAGTAATTGAATCTTAAATACGAGTATTTTTCTTTCAAAAATAAATAGTTTCCTTCCTTTCATCTCCTTTTATTACCAACCATGTTTTACAATTTAAGCTAGGAGTTAATTGCTTAAGTTTAAGTTATTCTTTGACCTTGTAGATAAGAGGTTAGGTTTAAATAATTTTACTAATACAAAATATCCTTTACTGACTACTGAGATTATTAACTATTAACATTATTCTATTGTGCATATTGTTTTATTTATTTATATTTGTACTTAATCAAATATTATGTGTATAAGAATTTATGCTTGTTGCTTGTGAACGTCTTAATATACAAATTATAAAACCGAATAAAATATCCAAGCTTACATGTAAATATATAATTATTTTTAATGTAAATATTTGTTATAGTGTAGAATGTCAAATAATGTATACCTCGTCACAACTGTCGAAGCTAAGGAAAACTAATGTATTTAATGCAACTTTTCATATATGGCATCATGGTCATTTTGGCACTATCAACAAATTACGATTGGGTAGATTGCCATCCGCTCCAGTGGATTGGACTGAAATAAATGCTGCTTGGGGTCAAGTTACATTGCTATTAGTGTCATTAGCTAGATACATGAATTTAACATTTGAAAAATATCGTCTTGTTCCATATGGAAATCATTCTTATGTTGAAGTACGTGGTTTTAACATTTTAACTTGAACTTGAACTATAAAAATGTACTATTCCTCAATAAATCAAAACAATTTACTTTATCATATGCTCACTCACTTTATATAATCATATAAACATTATAATCGATTCATATTAATTATATAATATAATAATAATTGATGTCAAAAAATGTGTACTAAAATATTATTTATTACCTATTTATTTTTCTATTTATATAAGAGGAACTAAAGAGATTATACAAACATAATTACTTCCCTATATTATTGATTTAATATTTAAGGGATTCTACTCAAAAATAAGTATAATTGTTATTTTCTTAATAAACATAGTGGTGTAAATTTGTATTAAAAAAGAATTAATACTGTTGACGGTTTTGCCACTGTTTATAAGACGCAGTAATCAAAAAAACAATTTTGAGCGAAATTTAGTTCATCATGTATTAGTATGCCACAATGTTTAAGATTTTCATAGAAATTTGAACTTTAAAATTATTATATTACACTCAATTTTTTATTTATTACAAATTGCAACTTATGCTCACACTGTCTATTGATTTTACTGTTATAGGTTTTAGGAGAGAAAAAAACATTGCCTTTATATGGTCAAGGTGGTATACGCTTTGTTTGGAACACAAAATTTGATTTGGCTATGGTGGCATTTTTAGACTGTCTTCAACAGTTTAAAGAAGAAGTTGAGAAAGGTAATTCTGGATTTCATTTACCGTATCGAATGGAAAAGGGTAAAATTGAAGATTCAGCTACTGGAAATACTTATAACATCCGGTAATAATGTAACTAATTGACCTAATTTTATTATAGTTGAACATTTTTAATTGAAATTATCTTCATTATAGAATACAGTTAAATTCTGAAGAAGGTTGGACTAAAGCACTGAAGTTTATGTTAACAAATTTAAAATGGGGTTTAGGGTGGGTATCTGCTAAAATAAATCACGAAATGTAAGTTACACTGACAATTCTGAAAAAGAAAAACTTTTACAAAAATTTAAAAAAAATTTACTTTTTTATATGTATTTTTTATTAATAAAGACATGTAATTAACATGCTATAAAATATTAAACCAATTATATTATTATTTTTATTTAATTATTCATAACTATTTTGTTTGTTAAAAACCACATTAAGCCAAAGAGAAAACTGGATGATCCATTAAGAACTTCTGATTGTGTGACTATATCTCTAATTTGTGGGATTGTGTATTCTACAACTTCAATATCTTCACCCTCGTTTGCAAGACCACCACCTTCAGAAATTTTCATTTGGTCACTGACCTCGGTATAAAAAAATGTCATAACTGAACCAGTTGTACTTAGAGCAGCTCTGTAAAAAAAAAATGGTTTGATTCAAATTAGTTTTGAATTTTAACTAATATTGTTGGAATTATTTATAAAAAATTATTTGATATACTTTAATTGATCTTGATTGTTGTTATATCAAGTACATTTATACATAAATAATTATAGACATACATTTAAATTAATTTTAGTTAAAATTATGTACAAATTTACTAGAAATCTTGAAGTTAGAAAATATATATAGTTATATTTCAATTATTTTGACCACTAAATAATATGATTGAGTTAATTTAGTATGTTTGGTGAGTATGTCTTAAATATAACACAATATTTTTAATTTAAAAAATATTAACTCAACTGCTATTAGAAATCAGCCCAGTTTAAAAAAAAGTTAGATTAAAATCCAAATTGGACCAATTAATTTAAATTTGTATATTTTCCTAGATTGTCTATTCAGGACAACTATTATTTTCAGTGTCTGATTATACAAGATGCCTTTTATAAGATCAGAATGTCATTAATATACTTAAAAAGTAACACATAACAGTAAGTAATTCTTTTTCACAGTCCAAATATATACAAATTAAGTAAATTTAATCAATGATAGTAGTAGGTAATAAGAATTTTAATAATTTTAGTCTAGTATATAACAAGTTATTTTAAGATTTTTGGTACTGATAATTCCTTTAAATTATAAAAAAATAAGGAACAAGAGTACAATACCACACTTCTTACAAATTCAATTTTTTTTTAACAACCATTATTTAAGATATTATGGCCAATCAATTTTAAAAATTTCAAATTAATTAATTAATTTATAATTGATGTTAAAGCTAATGGTGCGTTCAGAATTACTTTTCTACTATAATATCAAAGTTATAGTGATTTAAAGACTATGAATGTCACTTATTATTTATTGACTATCAAATATAATCAATAAATAATTTGTTTTTACATTTTTATTTAAATATTGAAATGTCAAATAATAAAAATATGAATTTATGTCCTCTATGAGCTTGCTTCGCGTGCTCAAGTTAGACTTATGAAACAAAAATTGAAAATAAACCTCGATCTTTTTAAACAAAACTGTCAGGGAAGTGAAAAGCAAAAAAATATAAAAATGTGAAATGAGGCCTTCAGTGATTTCTAACCCAAACTTTAAATTGCTAACTTATTTACTTTAGAATTTTCAAACTGAATCTGGAAGGAAGATAGTATCTTAAGACTTAAAACCTTGTTACTTGATATCGAGCTTTTAATCATTTCCATTCACGACTTTAAAATAATGCCGTTTTTTGAGTCGAAATTCCAAAGATTTTTCTTTATAATTACTTTAATAATTTTTTCCATAAAAAATCAAGCATTTTTAAAAAAAAAATATTTAAAGTATGTTTAGGACATAATAAAGTACACTTTAGTGTAATGATAAATGTGCAAAATGATATTACCTGCAACTGATGATTTTTTGCATATCCGACACTTTGACTTCATAACCACATTCTTCTCGGACTTCATCAACAGCTATTTCTGCAAGACTTTTGTTTTTGTCCACAATACCAGCACAAAATTCCACAGTCAAACCCATGCTAGGTGGATATTTATCGGTATCAATTGGTCCTTCTTTTGGTCTATCATCTTCTGGTATACTTTTATAATAAACACCTATAAATATTTACAAAATTAGAATGTTTACTCTATAAAAATTAACGTTGAAATTTTACCTGGTCTGAATTGTTTAACACAAACCAAAGTATTTCTAGTTCTGTTATAAATTATCACAAACACTCTATAAATCAAATAACAGTTAATTTATTAGGTATAATTTTAGAGAATAATAATACTAATATTATAAATTATAATATATTTAGTAATAAGTTTAATTTATAACCTAGATATATTTTTTCAATAGCAAAAACCCTGAAATTTAAAATGTTTTCCAAAATGACTTCTAATTTATTTAAAAGCTAAAAATCAATTTTTGTTTTTACATTTTCCGATATGTTACTGGAATCCAAATAGAATACTAAATTTTTAAATAAATAATAAAGGATTTAAAATGAAATGTCCTACATTATTTGTGTATGTTCTGATATCAGGGATTTTAAATTGTTTGATTCACTATAAATTTTGAAATGCTTTTTACTCCAAACAATCACAAGCCTTTTGTTAAAAAAGTTGAGTTTAATGAAGTATTTCAGTAAAATAAAATTTGAAATTGGGAGGTTAAAATAGCATTGAATATTTCAGATTTGTTTTACTTTAATTAAAATATAAGTATAAGGAAAACACATTTTGAATAAAAACAAAGTAAATATTTGCATTTTTACAAATATTCTGATTATTAAAGATTAAAATCTTTTTCTCAAATGAAATATCATACTTTTATTAATTTATTATAATTTATAATTCATTTTTAATTTTAAAATAACTGAATTTAGTTTTAAACTAGTAATAAATACGAAATGCATCGTTTATTTTAAATTCAAAATATATTATGAATATTACCCATTATGACTGTCAATTAGGTCCCACTTAATTTCCTTTTGTCCCTAAAATTTACATATTTTCCATTAATAAATGTAACATTACAAAAATAACTAAATATAATAAGTACCTACTTGTTTAAATAATAATGAAAATGGTTTAATGAATGCCGACTCTGTTGTTTTCACAACTCTCACATCACTTATAGGCTTCATAAGTTTATAATGTGTAGATGATCTTCTATAAACAATAATAACATATTCTTAATTAGTATCAAGTAAAAATTAACAATAAAACATATAAATGTAGTTTACAATCTAGAAAAAAATATACACTTGTCTTCTGACCTTCTATAAAAAAAATATTAGTTTAGAAACTAATATACACAAGCCAAATAGTAATAATATAATAATTATAATTATTATTATTATTATTATTATTACTAATTATTACTGGGAAAAAATTATAAATTTTATCTTTTTATTTTCTTATAAATTAAAAAATTAAAAAATAGCTAATTTTTTCTGTATTCTGTGGTAAAATCATAATGATTATTATCTGTTCGGTAAACTCTTGATCAAATTATCAATCATTATCACTAAAATTGGAACGAGACTTACCTGCTATAGATAATAGCCGTAAGTACTAAGTAGTATGTCCATCCCACCTACTAACTTCTGTACTATTTATTAAGTACTATATAGTATAGAAGTTTTTGATCCCACCTTAGAGAGATCTATCTAAAGCCGTGATAATATACAACTGGTGGCGATGGATAGCGAGACATCAAGTGCATCATGTTAACCGGTTGATGGTTAGTGGTTTCCTACATTTTCAACTGTATTACTGGTTACTCTAGTTGGTAGCTGTGTAAAATTTAAAAAAGAAAGTCAAATAATACAAATCCATAAAATAACATTTACCTACTTGTTTTTATGTACAATTTTTAATAAACAATGAAAATTTTTTTAACAGGTGCTTCTGGTCTCTTAGGTAGGTCTATCTATGAACGATTTCTGAACGAATCTGATTGGACTGTTTGTGGAATTTCATTCAAAAGGTTAGTAAGCATGGTACAGTGGTAAAATTTGAATGTAAAAAATTTAATTGATTTACAGAACAAAGCCAGGATTGACAAAATTAAATTTACTTGAGAAAGATGCAGTCACTAATCTTTTGAACTCTGTTCGTCCTGATGTAATTGTTCACTGTGCTGCTGAACGATTTCCAGATAAAGTAGAAAGTGACCCTCAAGCTGCTTATGATTTGAATGTTGGAGTCTCTACTCATTTAGCTAATGTAGCAAGTAAGTCTTAAATCTTCATAAATTAAATTATTTTATTTTTAATTATGAGTAACTCCTAAGAAAATTTTGAAAACTACATTAATAATAATAAAATCCAATGTCTCTTACTTTATAATATAGATATAGACATATGTATATTTTATTATCTTAGATAATCTTTATTAAGTAAATACCTATTAATTGTCTCCGTTCACACAAAACATTAAATCCAAAAATTGCTAGTTTGAAATTTATATTGTACATGCTAAAGATTTTTATACTATATTAAATACAATATGAATCCAAAAATAGACAATTTTGTTTCGCGTGAACAGGAACAATATATAAATTATGTTAAATAGCAACAAATGCTAATATGTATTTACCTGGAGGGAATTTTGGAATTTCATTATTTTCCTTTGAGCAAATTTTATAAATCTATAGGTATTGTAATATTGTGTCTGTTTTGGTTGAAATCTTAAAAACAAAAATAATAATAATAATAATCATTGTACAATTTGCACATTACATTTTGCAATTTGTTACATCAATTAAAAATTTAACTTGTTTTTGTTAAATTAATTTTAATTAAAATTATGATAAAAAAAAAGCCTATAAAAGTTGATCTAAATAGCTTTCAAAATAAATTGTTATTTTTCTATGCAATTGTTTCATTTGTTATACAAGTGTATAACTAGCAAAGTAATTTATCCTGTTAAAAAAATATGATTGAAATAAATTTGAGGTCATTATTATGGTTTGTATAATGTTGAATTAATTTTATTGTTAAATGTGCTGTATATTAAATCTAATTAAATTATATGTGTTTTACTCTTTAGATAAGCTTAATGTGCCTTTGTTGTACATCAGCACAGATTATGTATTTAATGGCGATAACAGTCCTTACAAAGAAACCGATGAACCTACACCTATTAACGAATATGGAAGGTTAAAATTATTGGGTGAAAAATCTATTTTGGATGCTAATCTTGGTAGCTTAATATTTTATGAAAAAAAAAATTCTAAATTGATATAAAAAACAATTTATTATACTATTTGCAGAAAATATTATTCTTCGTATTCCAGTACTGTATGGACCCGTTGAAAGTTTAGAAGAAAGTGCAATAACTTATTTATTAATAGGATTACAAAAGTGTCAGAACAGCAATGAATTATTTAAAGTTTCTAATTATGAACTTCGCAATCCATCTAGTGTCAATGACATAGCAAATATTGTTTTCAAATTAGTAGAAAAAAAAATTAAATTAGTAAGTTAAAAACTGTTATTGTTATATTTTGTTTTGTATATGTTACCATGAATGTCTGCAAATAACGAATGCTGACTGTTACCGGCCAATGTCTTTATACACCAAAGTCAATGGTGAATGTTGACATATTGATTAAAATTGTATGGCCTGTAAACATTCACTAGTGAATGTCAATATTTACATAGCGATATTGGTGAGTGTTGGTAATGCTATTTTTTTTTTCTTTAAATATAATCTCAGATAACGGAAAAATGCCTATAGTACTTTTAATATTAGTTTTAATGCTCGAATTGGGGAGGGGAGACTGTACCTTAATTAATTTTTCTGAAATTTTAGAATACCTCTACTATTTATTTTAAGTAGAATACATGAGATGGTACATATTTTTGCATTTTTATTAAAACTTGAACATATGAGAAAACTTTTTTTTTATCATTAAGTATAATGTTATAAGTTTTATAGTCCTTTTATTTTTCTAATTGTTGCACTGAATAGTAGGCATACTACCATAAACACAACTAGACCACAGACTTTGGGAGGTGCTAAAATTATACACATCACATCAGACCCATGGAGGAAATTACCCCACAATCGTCTGTACACGGCACTTCTGATAAGCAACTACATATTTCATTTACAATTTTTATCTAAAAATGTGTCAACTTTTTTAACTTTATTTTTTATTCGTACATCCATTGTCTGTAGGCTATAATCTTTATTTTGTTCTGCTTATTAATTATAAACTACATGGTTAAAATATTTACTCAATACTATAAAAACGTTTATTAGATATTTTTTGGGGTGTTAAAAGTTTTCTAGTACCCTCCCTCCCCTCATTGTACCTATGCATACTACCTAGGACCTAGTATTAATGTAATATAAGATATTATACAAGTTAATTTTTTGGTTAAACTATTTACCTTACCCAACAACTTTTATAATAATTATTATTATTATTCTTATAATATCTCTAATAAAGTATATAGTTTAGATATTTATTTATAACATTATTTCCCGCTTTGTTTTATAATAATAATTTGTTTAAGATAAACTAATCATTATTTAAATTAATAATACAAATAATATAATATTATCTATTAATAATAATTCGTTAAATTAATTAAGTATGTTGTATTTTATATGCTATCTATAGTCTATAGTATAGGCTATATTATATGTAGGAATACATATGTCAACATAGACCAATATCATAATTTAAATGACAACATTCACTAGTAATTGTCCACATTTTTTCAATTTATCAACATTCACAATAACATATATTACTAACCTAATATGTTTTATGATTTTTCCTAGAATAAAGAGATCAGAGGTATTTATCAGTGGTGTGGAAGCGAAACATTTACAAAATATGATATTGTTGCAAAGATGGCACACATGTTTGGCTTTAATATGGATCATGTAGTTCCAGTCACTGAACAAAGTGGAGTTAAGCGTCCATTTAATACTTTGTTAGACGTTTCACGCATTAATCAACTGGGTATTGGAACACATACTAACTTTGAAGATGGGATAAAATCTGTACTTTCTAATTGGGTTAATAAGTAATCAAATTAACTTCAAATGAAAATATAACAATGTCTTAATGCCTCAATAATAAAAGTTAGGCATCTGATAAAAATTATTGTTACTATTCAATATTTATAATGTTTTTAATTAAATGTATTTTTAAATTTATTATACAAATATAGAATAAGTTATTTTTATTATTAATTAAATTTGATATACTATATTGAATAGGAAAGCTGTTGGTTTCATTACTCCTGTTGTTATTTTATACATTAACAAGAAAGCCTACTATTACTCACTATTTTGGAATATTATTTATAATACTGCAGTTAAGTATAATTCTTATGTATTATATAGAATTTGTTTTTATTAAAATTAATATTAACCAGTGATTGACCAATGCTATGTACAAAAGAGTGTCAAATTGAAAGTGATATGTAGAACCTATAGATTTAGACAACTTTAATACACTATATTTTTTTTACAAATTACAAATATGTTATTAAAATAGTATTTTGCAGTTGTTACAATTACAATCAATTAATTAATTTAGCACAATGTTGACATAGTTCATAGAATCATAAACAATAATTTACCTTATAGTATATGTTATAGTATATAATTATGTTTTCAAAAATAAATTCCTTCTTAGTTTATTCAAAGTTTAATAAAATTATAGATGATATATCAGATTGTTATAATATAATATAAAATAAAAAATAAAATAGTATTGCAATTATAATAATATCACTATATTAAAAAAGATTAAAAGTATTAACAATTAAATTGCCTTCTATTTGCTAATGATACTAAGATTTTTCATATGATTTCCTCATACTTGATTGTCTCACTCTTTAACACACCCTTGATAAATTTGCCACCTGGTGTATTACTTTTAATTTGTTGCTAAATATTGCTAAATGTAAAGTAATGACCTTTCATTGCTCTAGGTTAGTAATACCTTTTGTGTACAAACTAAGTGAACTATCTGTTCATCGTGTTAACCAAATCCAGGATTTGGACATTGTGTTGGTTCCTTCACTTAACTTTAGTCCTCATATTGATATGGCAATAGGTGAGTATGACGAAAAGCTTTTAGTGTATTGAGTTTTATAAGGGTCTCCATCAATTTTAGTTCCCCTAATTGCCTACTAGCTCTCTATAATGCCTTAGTCTGTTCGGTTCTTAAATATTGGTCCATTGTATAGTCATCATACACCGTCTTTGACATTCGACGAATTGATCAAGTGCAAAACTATTTTATGAGCTTTGCTGGTTACTGTCTCAATATTCCCTACCCAAAACATGATTACAGGCTTATTAATCACACTCTTAAACTAAATTACCTTTTTGCTAGACATAATAAATTTGATGTTAACTTCATTCGTGGTCTAATCGAGGGTCAAGTTGATGTCCAAGGATTCTTGAACTACTTAATTTAAGTATTCCCAGTAAAACTAGGATACTGTCTACTTTTTACTTTCCTAAAAATAAATCTAACTCGCCAGAAATGTCCCACTCTCAAGAATGATGCGCAACGTGAATTTGTCTTAATCCTTATAACGGAGGTGCACTATTTTGCTTGTCTCTTTGTTTCTTTGTTTCTTGTTGTCATTACACTATTATTATTATTACTAGTATTTAAATTAATCTAATGTAAACAATACTGTTACTTTATATGGTTAATTACACTCTATATATATTATTTGTAAAAAGTCATTTATTCTAATAAATAAATAAATAAAACAATTATTTCTTAACAACAAAAATTAGGTATAAAATTGAAACATGTATTTTAAAAAATAATTAAACATAAATGGTTAAATATATACACATCTTCTAATTCTCTTTATAAAAGAAGTTTTTCATTTTCTAATTTGGTAATTTTTTCAATCATGCTTTTCATCATTAGTTGATTTTTTAAATGTACCTATCTATTTTTTTAAATTATAGGATCAAAAATTTACTTCTGTAGAAAATGTTTTATTTTTATAAATTTTATTTTAATAATTAAAATGAAAGATAAAATTTAGTTAATTTAGATTTTACTACATATTATGGTGTATTGTTATTTTAAAGATCAAAAGTATTATTTTGATTATTAAATGATATGTTAGAGAACTAAATTATGGTGTAATCAATTTTATTTGATGCTTCTCTATTACATAATGTACGCCATTGACCTTATACTTAGATGGAGTATCCATGTGAGATACTGATTGGTATAATATAGTCTCGCCACAAATGATGAAAACTATTATATTCCATTGATACTTGATAATTTGTATGACACAAGCTAGTCTTCAAGTCTCAATTAGTCCAATAATTCTTTGTTTAGGTTCTGACTGAAGTGAGGAATGTATTGGTTTTACAATTTTTTCCTGTGAACATCTTCTATCAGCAATTTTGTTCCGATTTAAATGATGGCACTTTTTTGAAAAGAAATTGGGGAGGTACTTAAGAGAGGTCGTGTTTGATTTTCACATGAGTTTTCCCAATGAATGGGAAAAATGTAGGAAAATAGGTGCAATATTACAATTCATTTTTGTTTTACTACTAAAAACTTATTATAATGAATCTCCTGTTCAATTTTCAAGCATTTCTGTTATTATGTCACACGAACAAGTATTTTAATATTATTATTAAAGACAAGCTATATAAATATTAAAATATCTTCATCTACTCTTTTACCATCAAACTCATTCCACTTGATTCGATGAGCTTGCCCCATCGCATACACTGGTTGTTCTCATATCATTCTTAATCGTATTCAACCACCTCTTTTTCGGTCTTTCTTTCTCCCTCTTCCTTCCTACATGTATTTGCATTACATTTCTTATTGCTTTAGATTCATCTCCTCATGATATTGTGTCCAAACCGTTTCAGTCTGATATCACTAAAGTATCATGTACAGTCTGATATTTTTTTAAATTTTGTTTACTATTGCCACGCCTAAGCTATCTCTTATGTACTCTCATTTTCCTTTCATTCTCATCTCTCTGTTACATTCATTTTCTATTCTATTTTTTTGTCTATTCCGAACCATACAACATATTATAGTTAATCTCGCCACATTTTTGAAAAATTGATCTTGAAATTATATTGAAATTCTTTTGCCACATAAAACATCTACCGAATGCTTTTCTTTACTTTATCTTTCATCTTATATTTCATATTATTGTCAAGACGTCAACGCCACCGTTCTTTTATAAAAATATCCTAGGTAAGTACCTATGTACAATGTTTAAATTTGTTTTACAGGATCATTGTATTTGATCAAAATAAAATTTGACAATGTCAGTGCAAGGGAAACGTTCTTTTGGACCTTGCATAGAAAAATGGTATTTTATCGTTTTATTTTTGCACATTTTTTTTTTTTTTTTATACAAAATTATAAATAAAAATTACATAATATCAGTTAATGTTTATTTCAGGGGGGTGACCAGGAAATATACCTTCTCCGCAGAAAAATGTATGTTTTCCCCAGAAAATGTAAGACATATTACGACGTAAACTACATGTGCTATGGGCCGATTATGAGTCATCTTGTTGACAATAAAATAAAAAAAATATTGTGTTACATAAATAAGTGTGTTTAACGAGCTACAAAAAAGTCATTATAGGTATTGAGCGTATTTTCTTAATTTTTTTCCTAGGTGTAAAAATTCCTAAATCCGGCTTCATCTTTGGCATACTCCTTCGGAAATTTACGACTATGCGTTTCCAAATAAGATACCTACGTAAAACAAACTTGAGTAGTTTCGAATAAAAATAAAAATGATCGATGGGTGTAAAGGATAAAAATAGGTGCATTTATTATTCGTTGAGAATTACGTTTAGTTAACGTTGTTAGCCAGTCAAACTTGCGTCGATGTACGGACAATGGTTATGAACTAATTTACGTCTAGGACACGTACACAAAATAAATTTTTAAAATTAATAAAATAATAAATATACATTATTATACAATATCAATATTTAAAAATCAATAAAACCAGAGGTTGTTTAATAACACTATAAGTTGTTTAACAATAACAATTATTATTATTATTCCGGCCTCCGGGAAATTCGTTGATATAGTTAATCTAAAATTCTATAAATAATAAAACAATAAAATTCACTCATAAGGGTACTTTATGAACTTGTTAACGGTCCACTTAAATGATTAGTCCGCCATTATAGAATGAAAAATAACAGATTATCCAAGAAGAAGAAAAAATAATAATTGTATACATTTATGATTTAATGGCGAATCTCAAATACCCGTCATATTAAAATTACTTTTGTTTAAAATCGAATAACATTTTTTTTTTTTTAATAATATTATTTTTTATTTTATATGCAAACCGTCTTACATAGAATTTAAATAATTAAAATCCTAGTAAATGTTTTGGTTTGAATGTTTGAATAGTAATTGAATAGGTAGTGAAAATGTAAGTTGTTGACACTAGGTACTTATATAGGTACACATTATTAAAGTATGTGTATTTTGTACTTTTGTAGGTTAGTTTGTTTTCTGGAAATTATTGTTTAATCTAATATTTTAAACGTGCCAATAGTCAGTACCATCATTCTGAATATGTGAATCTTGATTTAGACATTTTAGTTCATTTGTTTATTGTGTTTTCTACCTCTCCACGTTAAATTATACCGACTATGTAGTGTTTAATACATTATTTTTTCGAATTAGTTAATTTTAAAAAAATTTTTTAAACCATTTGTTCAAGTATGTACATTTTAAATTGATTATTAGTTTTATTTCTGTATTATACTATTGTTTGTTTTATGAACTTTTGAATATATTTACACGTATTTGTACTTCGGTACCTAACATGAATAGATTCGTATAACCATTTATCAATGTCGGAGCACTGAATATATTTCAGATCTTAGACTAACAACTTTTTACATAATTATTTTCTTTAACTGATGCGTGCTTTTTTTTTTTTAATGTGAATACCTTTTCTGTTGATACCTACGTTATGTCTAGTTTGTGCATTTAGGACGTAATTTTCAGATTTCCCTTATAGTTTTCTTAATAGTGAAAAACCGGAAAAATGTACGCAATAACGTTTCCGTTAATTTTGATTTCGTTTTTTGTAGTAGGTGTAATTCAGTGAAATATCTGGTTTAAAATAATCGTAGAAACCAATATTTAGAACATATTAATATTGGCCTTTTATATATATGGTCAAATTTTCAAAAAGTTCTGGCGATTTATGAGTTATTTATAGACATTGGACATTTTTTTTTTCAATTGTTAAAATTTGTTGTTGATTTTATACACATACATTTTTAAACTAAGCAGAAATAGTTAAAATTTTAATATGGAAATTCATCGTAATTTGTGGTTAGTTACATAGGTAATGTTAATAAAAGGTAACTGTAATACTGTAATGCAGTGATCATAATAAAACTATGGTAGTAATAGTTTTATTGTAAAAATAATTGCTTTTCAAAATATGCTTAACTGAATTTCGCTCACAACCATTCTTTATTAGTGTTGCTATATGAATTTAATACACTATAAAATCTAATAAGATATATTTAAATTATCTAAATTTAATTCAAAATATTATTAAAATGCCAAATAATACTTAATAAAACTAAAAATTCTAAAATACCTACTAAATGGTAATGTATAAGTAACCTAGTTTATAGATACTTTGGTACTTTCAAAATTCACTGTAGATATGTCACAATTAATGACCATGTTAACTTGATTTACTGTTGTGTTCACACATAAATTGAATAACTCTAAGTGTATGCCATATTATATTTCTGCTTTACAATAATACATTAATAATTAATTTTTTTATATGTACCTTTTAACTTGTAGTAATTTCTGTGATAGAATTAAACAAACAAATAAGTTTATATAATAATATATAAATAATAATAAATAATACCAAAATATGAATATGTACTAATTATCAAGTAAAATATATGAATAGGTAGATATTAATTATTTTTGACTAGAATATTGTTTATGTATATATTTTATATTTTATTGCATACAAATTAAAGTTTGTTTTATTAATATTAAGTAGGTATCTATTTTAATTGTAATGATATAATTTGTGTAAAATATTGGAAACGGAATTTCCGAATTCCATTACCTTCTATTCAAATTATTAATAATAAAATATTGGGACAAAATTATTGTAAATGAGATCAATGTTGTTTGGGGCTCAAGCTGATTACCAATTTTCTTTTTATCTTTAAATTAAGAGTGTAGAAGAAAAAAAACATGAATTTTTAAACAAATTTCAATTTGTAGAACATAGGTACATGTATTAATACAAAGTTACCTACTTTGTACATTTTTTAGTCAAACACCACATCTGAAATTTTGATATTAAATCAATATATATTAAAAATTAATTTTGTGTTTACCATAAATATAATAGTACTTTTAGATATAAGTTATAACCTATTTTGTTTTATTTTTATAGTTAGCAAGTATTTCCAAAAGTGTTAATAACTGAATTAGAATAATGGAGTTGGAAAGGTACAGTTTATTATAATTTTATTATTTAAGTTAAGTTCATATAATTTATAACAGTTTTTTCGACTTAAGGCATACTAATTTTATGAGTCACAGTCACTATTATTGAATTCAGTGGATATATTAATTATAGCTATAATATGAACAGTACTACTTTCGATTTTAGTGATGTAAAAATTCCTACTGATAGGACACCAACTTCATCAATTTTCTCAATATTGATCACTTTTTTTAAAATTTGCTCACTTTAAATTATGTCACTTTTTCTTGATTCTTCTTTCTTCAATTCTACTATTTTATTATACTTTTATATATCAAGAAAGAGTTTGTTAATTTACGAAAAGTGTTTAAAATATGCATTAATAACAAACCTTAACTCTTTAAAATATACACCAATATGCAAAATAAAATTCAGCCTATAAAATCAGTTAGATTTAAAACTTATGTTTCAAACTCTTTATAATCGTTACACACTCAGTATGAACATAAAAATGCATACAATTCTGGTTTCTATTTACAAGTTATACTTATAATATTACTTCTTATTCCTATACAATATATACACGTGATCAATAAGTTAGCAAAATAATTTCAAATTCACTTTTTATTTTATTTTGTGAAATTACACAAAAGATTGAGAAGCATAATTAATCAATAATTATAATTAATATGCCTTATTACTGTCATACATTGTAACCAATTTCTTTTTCCCCCAATAATTTATAGATCTATTTATCCGCTACTTGATGAAACATTAAATTATTTAAACAATGGAGTGATTGGAAAAGTTAAAAATTTAGTAAGAAATAAAAACAATACATTCGTTTTTCATATGTCATTAGATAATTGCGAACAAATTAATGTTGATGAATTTCATTTGGCTGTATTAAATGAAGTTTATGTACCTATGTAAGTTAAAAACTAATTTTAATTAGCATTATACATGTATAAATATTTAAATTTGTTAATATAAATGCATGTATTTAAAATAAACTTAAAAAAAATAAGTTAATTTAGCCTCTTTTAATTATTTTACATTACATAATATTATAATAATTTTTTTAAGGTGTGATGTAAAACCAGGTTCATTATTAGCTTGCCCTCATCCGCAAAATAAAAAGTGGACTCGGTGCTATGTTATATCTATTTGTCATCAACAAGCTAATGTTGCATTTTGTGATACTGGTGAAATGAGTCTAACTAAAAAATTTAAATGTATTCCTGAAAAGTACAAAAGTATCCCAGTTATTACATTTGAAGCTGAGTTGAAGGTTATTTATCCTCATGGAAAATTACAACATTTAATAGAGGTAGGAAAATTATATTTTTAATTGAATCTATAAGTTTAATTATTTTTAAGATTCTGAGTAAAAGTTGATGTTTTTTTAATTTTAATTTTGTTCTTTTTTTTTTAAAACATTTTGGAGTCTTAAAAAGTTTCCAAAGTTTAATATGAGTATCTCTTTAGATGGATACATTTAACAGTTATTTTTCAAAATGATCATTATATTTATGCATTTCTATTAATAATTTTGTCTTAAATTTAAATTATTGATATTACTCCTATCTCTACTTGCTAAACATGTAATATTTTGTCCTCATTGGAAAATTATGTAATTAACATCTTAATTTAGTATTTATTGTTTTTAATCTTTTATTTTGTAATTAATTTTATAATTCAGTATATAAATGATAAGGTACACCATATTAAACTGTATAATAGGTTCCTACTGGGTTTAATGAAGATAATAGGATATATTTTAAAATCTGAATGCATGGTATTCAGCAGGCCAAATGTAATTTTGTAATTTTGTGCACATTATTTATATTTACACAAACTATTTTTATCTTTTTTTGTCATCTCTATCTCCGTGCTTAGTTTGTTACAGAATTGGATTATTAGGGGTGTTAAGGTTACTAAAAAGAAGCAGTATTTACAATTGTATAGTTCTAGGTGAAATTATTTCCAAGATACGAGTGTTTAAAAATTACAGTTTTGAAATTTTGCTACATAAAAGTGTTTGAGAGTATAATTACAAGGAAAAATTAAAATCATTAATAATCCAGCTTTGAGGGGCAGGGGGCTAGCAGGGAAATTAACATCTACAGAATACTATGTCACTTCTGTAACAATTATTACGTATTAATTTGTCCATATACTTTTCATAGTATGTTTTTGAATGTCAACAACTATACGTGTTTATTATCTATAAATACCTGTGTTGTACCTACCATACTGTTTATAATTATAATATACTGACTATTTGATGCTATTTTATATTAATTGTATTATTTAGCCATGTGGGACACACATATACTTATGTATATATATATTATATTGTTATATTTAAGTTCTACATTACAAAAAGTAGTGATATATCACCATTTCGGCAAAGCAGATAATTTTCTTTGCACTGAACTTGGCCCTTTTTTCACATTTATGTTTTTGGTGGTATTTACAATCTTACTAAAATATTTACCTCAAAATTATATACCTGTGAAATATGTAATCATGAATTTTGATAAAGGAGTTTAAAAAGACTGCATTAATGGGCAATGACAAGTTATCGTTCTCTCACCACCATCAGATATTTCGCCAGCTTTAATTTTAATTTTTAATTTAAAACTATAAGTAGCACAATTCTTCAAACAACTTAATATTATGAAGAGATTAATAAAACTGTTGATTTTGTATTAATTACATTTAATATTGTATTTGGTATGTATTTAATTTTGACAATATCTTTGATGTTTTTAAAAAAGAACATGATGTTTGTACGCCTTTATACATTAAATATATTCTAAAAACTACAGAATTAGTACTATTAGAATTGATTTTGCATCTTGTGTGTTATTTCTCCAAACATGCTTTTTGTCTGTACAATAACAACTAACCATTAAATTGCATTGTCATTAACATTTATTTATTCATTTTTATATTTATTTCAGCATTTTGGTGATTATATTGTGTCTTTCGAACAATTTAAATATAAGCCAAATAATTTAACTCGTAAAAAAATGAAATTAACTTATAAAAATGTGTCTATAAATTTTATTATTAATAAATGGAATCCACAAAATTCTATTAAAATGAGTGGCACTTATTTTAATTCATTAATGAAAAATGGTAGTGCTGTGGTCTTAGCAAAAGTAGAAAATTATGATTGGAGGCACATATTTGTTAGAAGTATTGATCAGTTTGTTAATATTTGTAAACAATTGCAAACATATTGTGAAACTGGTAATTTTATTTTATATATATTGATAGGAAACGTGTTTATGGCTAAAATTATAAAATATATATATATATTTTTTCTTAGCATCGAAGATCGATAGAATCCCTATTGTAGGTGATATCATTGCAGTAAAATGTGTAGATAAATTTTACAGAGGCAAAATCATAGATTTATTAGATGATTCAAATATTTCTTTGTACTTAATTGATGCAGGATATGTGATTTCAACTTCAACTGATTGTATAGTTGATTTATCAAAGTCATTACAAAAGGTATGTTTCAATATATATAATTTTCTATAGCATTCAAACTTAAATTATTAATTAAAATTTATAAATAATGTGTGTTTTTCATAATACTTTAGATTCCATCAACTGTCTGGTTAGTTGGTTTAAAAGATATAACTATGAAGCCGTGGAATCAGGAGACTTTTTTATATATTAATACACTATTTGAAAACTCTACAACTATGATAATGGTAAGAAATCATTATAGTATATGTGTGTTTAAAACAATAGATTTTATGATATTTTTAAAATTATTAACTATTAATAACACCAGTTATAAAATTATCAAGTAGGTATAAGAAATATTAAATGCTAATATTTTTTATTTATTTTATTTTTATAAGTATTATATCATATTTTATTTAATTTAACAAACTAATAAGTAATATCTAGATAATAAGTAATTGGTAATTTTTATTAGTCATGTTTGACCTTATTTTCATATTTTATTTATCTATTCTATTTAATGTTATTTAGGAGTATGCCGATTACAATCCTCTTGGATTGGATTCTGTTACTTTAACTGTTATTAATAATAATGAAGATGTAAATGATCATTTGAGAGAACTCTTAGTAAGATTTAATTATTATTATATAATTATAATTTATTTATTATTATTATTATAAAGCATCTTTAATTTGTATTATATAGGGTAGAATACAATAATAGATACTATATAGTTTACAAACTTCATATTTATGTTAGTACATAAAACATTTGATTTTATGTGGTCTAGTGTGCAAAGGTAGTTTTTTCTTTCAAAACATGTCTTATAGAATTGTCCGATTTTTTCATTTAAGTAGTTTTGTTGAAAATGGGCAAACTTCTTTTACAGCCTACATTAAACAACGTTTTTTAATACTTTAATCTAAAATGTATACTATGTTTTTAAAATGTTAAGCTTTTTTAATATTATTATTTGGAATAATAAAATAATATGGGTTTCTGAGTTCAATGCCGTTTGTAGAATGTTGTTACTTATCAGTTGAAACATAATGGTTTAAACATTAAATGGACAATGAGTTATTCTTATTCCCGTATAGTTATATTTGTTTATAAAATGGTTGTTCCTTCTTCTTTTAAATAAGTGTTTGGTTAGTATATTAGTGAAAAAGTCTTATAATTAAAGTGTTAAAAATAATTTTCAAGTTCTGCAAAATAAGTTAAAATTTGAAAAATCGGCATTGATCACCTTAATGTAAACTTGTTAATGTAATGTACACAGAAGATAGTTCAAAGTTAATACATTTTATTCGGCATTGATGCTATTGTATATTATTTATTTTTATTAATTTTGAAGTTTCTCAGAATTGAATTTAAGTGGCTGTGTACGATTGTTTTCTTGAGCTTACTGCATCAACTGTTAAATGAGATAACCTTATATAATAATAATTAAAGCAAAGATAAAATCTTAGGTTGACAAGTTTAATGACTCACCTCTTAGATTAACTATAGAGATATAAAATTGATACATATTTATAACCTAGAATTATGAAGAAGATCCCGAAAACTGTTTTCTATATGTCAATAATCCAGTTGAAGATTTAAACTCTACTTTAAAGCTGCATTCTAATACAATTATTCCAGTAAAAGTAGAAAATTCAAAAATATCAGGTTATTATATAAAATATTTTTATTTTATTAATGTACTATATATCTTTAATGCATATGTAAATTATGTATACATCAAAGTGTTAAAATAGTGTAAAATTTAGATTTTAAAATTATTTCAGAACGCATTGAAAGTAATCTGCTGCCTGGCAGTGTAGTTTACATGGCTGGTTTTGTAGATTTTAGTGAAGTATATATTAGAAAATATGAAGATCACAATGAGTTTAATAATCTTTTAGATATGTTTAATATATTTTGTTTTTCGGGTAAACATATATATATATATATATATAATTGTTATTTTTCAATATTTTTATTGACTGTTTATTTTTGTTTTAGCTATACCAGTTAGTAGACCATTAGAGATTAATGAAATTATCGGAGTTAAATCTAAATTGGATGATTGTTTTTACAGAGGCAAAGTTTTAAAACAAATTGACCACATCAATTACCAAATTGAGTATATTGATTATAGTACTATTGTTGATGTACCTATATTTTATGTTTTTGAAATTCCTGAAGAATTTATGGTAAAATATTTATAACTTATTGATTTATTGCATTATTATTTTTATTTATATATTCATTAGCATAATATTTTTTTTCTTTTAAAGATTCCTTCAAATGCGATATGTGTAGCTCTTAAAGGATTGAAACCTAGTCCACTAAATTCAGATGCTTTTGATTACATTAAGTATCTATTGACACATTCTAAACCAATGATAATTGTAAGTATCTATACATTTTGTAAAAAGAACCGGAATGATTTTATCTATTTATACATTTATTTCCATTAAACTTTATTATATAAATTAATATATGTAAGAAGAATTTATAAGGTGATCTATTTAAGTATTTATCTACACTCAGTTTCTTAAATAATTGAATTTATTTTGAAATTTGTTTTTTAAATTAGTTAAGGAACAAGTATCTTTAAAATGTTTCATTACTTTTATTTTATTTTTAATCTATTACGTATACATACATAAACCATTTTTGATTTTAAAATAGTAATCTTTATTAATAAACCATAAATAGATTGAGTAGTATGTAATAGTTCAAATATATTTTTAATTTTCAACCTATTTCATTGAGGAAATATTCCACTATTAAGTTTTGGTAATAAGAAGTATTAGTGGACGAGTTTTTGTTGTGTAGTAGCACAGTGTGTAGCGATTGAATAATGCTTCACTACTCTACCTCTATCTAAATTTTTTAGAACTATTGGAACTTTGTAAAAAAAATTAACTAAAACTTATCTAAATTTAAAAGTGGAATATCTTGTCAACATGTTAATGGAAATTAGAAATATATATAACTATAATTATCCTATTGCTGTTGGGTATACAGTAAGAACGAAATACACCACCTACCTATAAATGTTACGGTTTACGGGTATGTTTGAAACAAATATTTATAAATACTTTTTTTTTTAAAAACTAGCTTATCATTCGTTAACATTTTCAATGTTACCATTATAATATTAATAGTATTAGCCATAATTAGTCTGGACTTGTTAATACCATATTATGAGTTAAACACTAAGTTTTTGTGGTTTTTTTTTTTAAAATTTGTATTTGTTAAATACGTGATATTTTTTTTTGTTAATAAAATAATTTATCTTGGCATAAATTATTATTAATACACCTATTTTTATGAGACAAATGACTGGTGTATGGTTAAAATAATATTATATTATAATAAAAATATAAAACTATTAACTATTGCTCTATGTTCTATTATATAATATATGTCAACAGTTTTTTGAAAATTGAAAATATTTTTTTAAGAATGTGGAAAAACGAAAAAAAAATGAGAAAAATTAATCAAATTGATCTAATGTGTTATACAATTTTTTAAAAAAAGTTAAACTGATAGAAGAATTTCTTAAAAACTCTTTGATATTGTTCATGCTGTTGCCTTGGTACAAATTTTATTGTGGTAGATAATAATTTTTACTATTGTAGCGAAAAAGATATATCGGAAACATTAATAAAAAAAAAAAAAGGAAATTGAGCTTAAAATGGATTACAAAATGAAGGAATACAGTATTCAATAAAATGTATAAGTGTAAAAGACCATATTATTTTTAAGAAAATGTTGTATCTGAGATAGTACTTGCAAATTTTTTACCGTAATTAGAAATTCCGTTGCAATTTTTAAATAAAGACATCAATGATTGGGAGGAAGTGAAATTGTTCAATCAATGAAAAGTAGGTTTAATTGAAGAATACAATAAATTGCAGAAAAAACACAAGATTCAAAAGTGTGCCTTATTATACCGGGATACAAAAGATTAACTTAAATGCTATAGTAATATAGGTACACACATATTTTATACTAGTGTTTCTTAAACTTTTTAAGATAACCAAACACCAACAATATTTTTTTATGTGAAACCCTTAAAATATAAAATAAAAATATTTATTTTGTTTACTCATATTGATAGTAATATTATTATTATAAATTTAATAAATTACAATGCGCGCATACATGACGAGTTATTGGGGGAAAATCATTAATATTCACTAAACTTACTACACTGCACAGCTAACTGTAGCACAGCATTTTATTGCTAATTTTCCTTTTATCATTACTATTATCATTAAATGGTTAATTGTTGTTGAATTTTAATTAATTTTTTCCAGACTTTCCTGGAACCCCCTAAGAGTTATTTGTGGAACATTAGTGTTTTACAGAACAAAATTTAAGAAACACTGTTTTATACTCAGCACTGTTAATAATATAACAATAATAATAATTAAAATAATAATAATTAAATACATTATGAGTTATACTTAATATAATTTATTATCACCAATTTTAATAAAAAAAAATTTTTACCGAAAATTTAAAATATTAAATTCCTGGTTATAGTGATCTATAAAATGTAAAAAAAAAAAAATAAATAATTGTTTTAGTATTCTCTTGACAAGAAAAATATGATGAAGTAGTGCTTTCAAAAAAATTAAAGTCAATTTTTTGTTTCACCCTTATAAGCATTCTACATTGTACCTATATGAAATGAAATGTTTGAATGTATGAATAGATAGTTAATAAATTTTACATTAACAACTTTTTCTATTGGTAATTTTTTTTTTTACTTATTATTATAAAATATATATTTTATAATTTTAATAAAATAATATAAAAAACTAAGTTTTCATTATAACTATAACTTTCTATAATCCCCTATTTATAATTTATTTACCCATGTTTATTTAAATTACCGATGTATGGTTTACAGTTCTTTTAGTTTAAATACTCTGCTATAATATAATGAATATTATAATACATAAACATTGTATTTAAATACATTTTATTTATATCTTTATATTTATTTATTGTATTTTAACATAATAGTCACATACTATGCTTTATATATATATATATATATATATGTTTATTTTTATGATGGATTAATTATTAACAATTGACCTAACCTAACCTAATTTAACATAACATATAATTGAATAGTTACTGTCTTTTTAAACTGTGAATATAATAATTGTATGCATTTCTATTTAGGATTTTTCTCCAGTAGAACACTACAAAAATGTTATTTTGAAATTAGTAGATGGTGAGAATGTAAATGAACGGTTACTTGAATTAGTTAGTAATGATGGTTATACATTAGTATCAGATACAGTTAATAAACATGTATCAGGTATGTAATATTATTACTTATTTTATATTTTTATACTTAGTTGATTAATGGATTGGGTTATACAAAAAAAAATAAAAGCTTTGTTAAAATATAATTTACTGCTTGATTTTGATTTTTTTGTTTTTTTGTTTTTATGATAATTTTTTAATGCCTAATATTAGTTTAATAATCTACTTTAATTATTTTTCGATGTAAATTTAAAGAATGTTTATGAAGAATTTAATTGAAAATTTTCGGATTATTGTTATGATTTGTTTGACTTATTTTCGTTCTACTACATTATAAAAATTGCTACCAATTAAGATATTCAAACTGTATGGCTGAAATGTATGTATAGAAAAAAAACAAGAAACAAATCAATATTAATCGCTAATATGAGCATTTTAATAACAATGACAAATGGTTAAAAGTTCAACATTTCTTGTCATACTACCACAAAAAAATGAATTTTTATTTTATTTTAATTACATTTAGAAATTTAAGGTGTGTATAGAACGATAAAAAAGATAAATTGATCAAAAAGGATTTTGACAAAAATTTCATCCCCTTTTATTTTTGACTAGATTTTCATAAGAATATTCCTAACAGGATTTGAATATTTTAACTCATGAACTTTCATGTTCAGTAATATCTATTTAAAGTAGACTGGCCAAGTGTCAGAAAAAAAGAAAATTATTATTTAATCAAATAAAGGCTATTTATGCTTTATTCAGAATTTAAATAAATAAAAAATAAAATATTATTTAAACTAAGGAAAATTGGTAATTTAATAATACAAAATATTAGACTTTAAATTTTGTGAGAAACTGGAAGTTCTAGTTTTACAGTGAAATAGGTTTTTTTTTCATTGTACATTACTTTTTTGGATAAAGTTGTAAATATTAAAAAGGTAAGATAATTGAGACAAGTGCAGCCACTGGTGTAGGTGGAAGTTAAAAATGTAGGATACAGATGGGAATTTAATGTATACCTATAAGCAACGATAAACCATTGCTTACAAAAAAAAAATGATTAAAAGTACAAACGTTGGTTTTTTTTTTTTATTAGAAGATTTCTTCAAAAAAGAAATGCACAGTGACGACATTTTATCTACATGTTTAGAAAATGTCACAAAAGAAGAAATTCACAGTGACAAAAATTCATCTAAATTAATAAAAGGAGATTTAGTTTATATTGTTACATTTATTGATGTACATCATATATTTGTACGCAAGGTTAAAGATGAAAATGATGATTTTTTAAATTTTGTAGAACAAGTGAATTTATATTGTTCAGCAGGTATTTATTACATTTTAACTAGTTAGGAGAGTTGATCATAAATATTACTATTTAATATTTATAATCAATGACCAATTATATTAAATATTTATTTTTTTTGCTTGAAAGAAACACCCATTGGTAAATTACCTAAATTAAACGACATCATTGGAGCTAAATCAAAAACAGATGGATTATTCTACAGAGCACAAGTTGTAAAAAAAATAAATGAAGTTAGCTATAATGTACAATTTTTTGATTATGGAATTGAAGAGAATGTACATTTATCTGATATTGTATGTCTTTCTACTGAATTAAAAGAAGTTAGTTATTTTATTTAAATTTAAAGAATGGGATAATAAGAACTTGTTACTTATAACTATTATGGTTTTTAAAATTTGTTCAAAATGTAGTAGAAATTGACTCTAATGAGATATGTTATTAATCTTACACTTATAAAACATAATATGTGTGACAATTTCCTTTTAATGTTAGTGTTCAAATATTCAGAACAATAAAATAATTTTAAATTATAAAAATATTGATATACTTTTATATGCTTTTGTTATGGTACACTTTTTCTTTTTTCTTTAATCTTTTTAAAGTTATACTAGATTTCTACTGTACACATATCTATTTTGTATTCATGATTTGTATTCATTTGTTTTTATCTGAATAAGTATGTAACATCAAAAGAATATAATATTTATAATTTTGTGATGTTATCTGATTATTCATAAGATACCTACTACAATTCACTTGGTCAAACTCAAAGATATTGGATTCTGTAAATTAAATAAAGTTGCTCGGGAATATTTTACTTTAATTAGTGAAAATGAAACTTTAATAGTAGTAAGTAATTTTAAATCTATAAATAAAAAAACTATTTATTTTATAATTATTTTCAATATAGGAATACATTGAAGATGATACTAATAATGTAATACTGAAAACTAGTGAAAATCAAAATATCAATTGTCATCTAAGTATGTTGATTTTTGAAAATAATGAGATGATAAATTCAACTAGAACAAAAGAAACTCAAGAAATGACAAAAATAGGTAGATAATTTTTCTTTTAAATGCCACTTATAATTATTAATCACCAATTTACCATAAAAAATGAATTAAAGATAACAGAGTGCAATCAAAATTTATTGGAACATGCTTACAACCAGGCACTATTGTTTATATGACTGCCTTTAATGATTTTAATGATATATATATTAGGAAGATAGATGATTATAATGATGAATATCATAACTTAATAGAAAGAGTTCACGAATTCTGTTTATCAGGTAAAACAGTTATTAAAATATTTATGTCTGAATTAATTGATTGTTAAATATTTATTGTAGCTGTACCAATCAATAGATCTTTGGCAACTGGTGAAATTGTTGGAGCATTATCTACATTGTATGATGGCTATTATAGAGCTAAAGTTTTAAAAAAAAATGATGATACAAGTTATACAATTCGTTACATTGATTTTGGTGAACCGGATATTGTATCTATTTCAAATATATTTGAAATACCCAAGGATTTTAAGGTATTACATTGTTAAACGAATCGTTGTTTATTATAATAACATTAATTCAATATGTTTTTTGTTATTAGATTCCTTCAACCATTATTAAAGTTTCTCTTAAAGGAATTGAGTCTTGTTCATTAAGTGATAAAGCTTCACAATTTATTACTGGTTTATTATCAGACCAAGTGCAAATGACTGTTGTAAGTTTAAATAAGATAGTTCTGTATTTAATTTCACAAGGGTAGATTTCACAATGTTAGGTCATAATATGAACATAAAATATTCTCACTTCCTCACTTTATCTATTGCATTTACATATTAAAATTCTGTTCTTTTTTTTTTGCATTTCTATGCATTTTTATCATTGCCATCAACCAAAGTTGTTCTTGAGAAATATCAACCACTCAGTTCTTCTATTTGACATGTTCTTTTTATGATATAAAATGTTGTTGTAATTGTCATTGAATAATATTTGATGATACAATTTTTTTATTTAATTTTTTTGTAGGATTTTGATATTAACTTGCCTTTAAAAGATGTTACCTTGACAATAATTAATAGCAATGAAAATTTAACCAGCATCTTGGATAAATTATTGAAGAATATAGACAACAATACAGCCAATAATAATGTTAAAAATACAAATGTAACAGGTATAATCATTTGTTGCTTATTATTAAATTCAAATTTTAATACTTTGGTTTTTATGATTGTTTTAAAATCAATTTTGAGTTAAACTTGCAGTAAAATTATTAAAATATTTTGGTTAATTTTGTTTACATTTAACATCAGTTACTTAGTAATTAAAATATATATAATTATTAAATATGTATAATATTTAATAGTTTAATATTATTAAAAAAAAAAATCAAAATTAATATATGTTATATCATTTATTTATTTATTTATTTATTTATATATATATATAAAGAGTATTTTAAACGTTAAAGCTTAAAGAATGCAAATCATCTAATATATGCACTAAATTGTCCTTAATATTAATTTAATATTTAATAAGTTTATTTGTATGGTTATTTTAATTTACATTTTTTATTATTAGATATTATTAAAATATTTTCATAATCTATTTTCTATAATAGTTGCTTAATTTAAATTTAAAAATATTTAAAATATCTAATAAATAAAATGTAAATAAAAAAGAAAATTATAATTTATTACTTATAATACTTAAATATTATTTTTTCTTATTTAATTATTTGAAATTTTTCATAATATATTTGAATCGATAAGTATTAAGACAATTTTAAAAGTTATTTATAATAAAATAAATCTATTAAAATTTTCAGAAAAATAATGTTTACTGAACAAATTTTTCGATTTATTATTATAAAATAAAGTTATTTAATTATAAATATTTTTAATACTCTTCCCGTAGAGTAATATATAAAATAAAAAAACAGAATTTGATTATCTTTATTATCTTCGGATATATTTAAGGGGTATATTTTTGTGGGACAGCCTGTATTTAGATATTAAACCTTTCAAGAGGAATTAGTAATTTTTAATTCCTGGTTTAATTGGTTTAATTTTTAACTTGAAAAAGTTCCAAATAATTTTTTTCTTTAGTTATCACTCTCCTATAAATCACACCTACAACTAAACAACTTTTTCTCCTACTAAGTCTTTCCATTATTTAAGATTTGGAGATTTCTTCTCTTTCCTCTGAATATCACATTAATTTATAGTCAGTTGAGTGCTGAAAGTCCTTGGGTTCAATAAACATAATACTAAAAACTTCAAATCCGCCCTCTGCCTTCATTCTTTATATATTCTGTTTTTCACAATTTTCTTATGAAGGACCAACTTCGTTTCAAATGTGTAAATAATAGATTCTTATCATATGCTGCCTTCATTCTAAATACTCTGGTAGTCCACTATGACTATATGCTTATCAAACTAGTCCTCCACATTTAAACTCTTTCAATATCTTAAAACTGGTCAGCATTTCATTCATTCCCTTTTAAATGGTTCTCTGAATGCTCCTGATCTTCTGAAAAAAGTTTCTTTTAGAGTCACTTCTTATTCTACCTATAATCAGTATCCTTTTGTTATTTCTAGTCATACTACAATATACAGTCATAATCAACTCCTTCATTGTATGCTCAGAATATACACTCCTTGACTCCTGTTCATTAATATTTTAAATTTGCATATGCCTATACTATAAGAATTTTAACTAATTTATATATATATTGTAATATTGTAAATTTGTAATTGCCTTTGACGTTTATTGGAAAAAACAAATAGAAAACATTTTTTTTAAGACCATACAAAAAATAAAAAATCTACAACTACTCTTAAGTTAGACTTTAGTAAATTTCTAACTTAAGTTTAATATTAGTTTGATGTTTTAAAACTCTTAACGATTTCATACAAATTTTAATTATGAGCATTCTTTTGTATTGTTTTTTTCTTCTTTTTTTAGTGCTATGATTTTCACTGATATTTATGTCAAAAAAATTAATTACATTATTATGTCTGTATTTTTTATACTTTCCTAATAAATTTATTTATTTTTTTATTATAGTCCTTAAATATAAATATTTATATAATGTATTTTGTTTTTTAGAAGATGAAGTACTGGTAGTAACTCAAAATATTAAAGAATGTACTATGCCCTCTGATGAAACTAATGTATTAAAAACTGGAGATATTGTATATATTACAGCATATATTGATTTGTGTAACATCTTTGTTCGTAAAGTTAATTTTAATGGTGATGAATTTAAAAAACTTAGTGATAGAGTAAATTGTTATTGTTCATTAGGTCTGTACTTAATAAAGAAAGCAAATTTGAAAGATTCAGTTTAAATATTATAAAATTTGTTATAGGAAACTTTTCAGAGAGCAAACCTTTAGAACTGAATCAAATTGTAGGTGCTAAAAGTTGTGTGGATGGGCGTTTTTATCGGGGAAGGATTATTGAAAAAACTGATGAGAAAAATTATGATATAGTTTTTATTGACTTTGGTTTTGAGGAATGTGTACATATCACTGATATTGTTCCTCTAACTATACAACTCCAACAGGTTAGTTATTATAATACTATTATATTAAATTATCTTTTTGTAATTATGAATTGTATTTAGTTACCTGGTATAGTATAATGTAATATTAACAATTAAATGAGTATCAACTTATAAAATGTATTTTAGCTGTATGTATGCAATGAAGTTTGAATATATTAATTTTAAATTTGTGTAGGTGGAACCGAGTGTTTGTTTAGTTGGACTTAAAGGTTTAAAATTTGAAATACTTGATACAACAGTTGAAAATTATTTAAATAATTTGATGTTTAATAATGAAGTGATGAAAATAGTAAGTTAAATTTTAATTTCAATTGTAATAAATTCTTTTAATAATAATATTAACTAAAACTTGAAATGAGTTTATAATTATGAGGTTTTGTACCAGTTATTGTTAAAAATCTGTAACTGGATTTAATTCTGGGTATCAAGTGGTTATTCATTATGAAATTCTCGAATGCAAATTTGGAAAGCCAGGTGCAATCCTCTTGCCATAAATATTTTGCTAGGTTTAGTTTTATATTTAAACAATTTTTTTTGTGCTTTTACAAACCTCTAAACCTCCATTTATGTAATTACCTTTATATAAATTATTATTACCATCTATATCTGACACAGTCTTATACATAGTCCAATGATTAGAAAGCAGTTCCTTTTCAACTATATGTGCTGGTACTAAATTTAAAATAGCCTAAGCACTGTAATTTATTAAAAATCTTGTAAAAGTAAATCAAACATGTATACAATCATTACTTATTGTTTTCTTTCATCTCATCACTTTAGGAGTTTGAAGATTTGAGTGCTGTAACATTAACTGTGATCTCTCAAGAACAAAATGTTGTTGATTATTTAAATGAATTATATGTGGATAATACTATGATAAATGACCCTGTACAAGAATCATCACCTTATTGTAAATGAGGAGTAAATTGTAATTTTTATTTTTTGCTAATATAATTATGAGTTTAGGTATGAAGTACATATCTCTTGACATCAGTATTCCACAAATACCATTACTGACTAACAAAAGCATAGTTACTATTTACACATTTATTAATTTAAAAGATATATCAATCAGTGTGACTTATAATGAATTAGAAATCAACAAGTTTTTAAGTGATTTTTCTGTGTTTTGTATGGCATGTATGTACCTATTTATTAACATTAATTATTTTTATTTTAACACGACAAAGATAAATTTTTGTTCATTATTTGATATTGTTTATTTTTTAGCCCAACCTATTACTCAAACTCCAAGTATCGGAGAAGTTTTTGGTATCCGATCTACTAACGATTCATTTAACAGGGGTGAAATAATTGAAATATTAAATGACGATCAATTTAAGGTTATGTTATTTGATTTTGGGATTGAAGAAATTGTATCAGCTAATAGTATTTTCGAAATATCCGAACAATTAAAACAGGTAACTTGATTTATAATGTTAAGTTTCAATTAATTTTTTATAAGTTTATAAGTTATTTAACTAACAACTAATTAAAATAATATCAACCTATAATTTTCGCCATGTCTGAATTATATGTTAAAAAAAAGAAAAAATCAAAACAATGTATGATGGCACAATTTTATTATAGATTTAGATGAATGCTTAACGTTCATTTATAATATTATACTTGTGCACATCATTATTTTTAGCTATTAATTTTGTTTTAGGTGCCAAAAATTATTTACCGTGTTGGGCTTAAAGACGTTAATTTTGATAATCTTAATGCCCAAGCCATGTCTTATGTGAATTATCTTTGTGAAAATATGCCTTTAATTATTGTATGTACCTTATATATTTATATTATGATTGTTTATACTATGATTGTTTTTATAATAGTCCAATTTTTTTAATTTAAATTTTTAATTTTTAATTTTAGGAATTTGATGAAAATAATCCAAATGGGTTAAATTCCGTAACATTAACTACTATTAAAAATCAACAAAATGTTAATAATCACTTAATAACACTTTTAACTGGAAAAGAAGAAAGAGGTAAATAATTTGTCAGTAAAAATAATTTCAATATTTTCATTTTAGATTCTGAGTGGAGTGAAGAAGCTTGTAGTTTTACAAAGATTCTTATTTTTTTTTTCTTGTGCACAACTTTTCAACCAGTTGTTTTGCTCCAATATTTAATGATAGCAATGTTTCTAAAAGGAAATTTTTATTAGGAAGGTACTTTAGAAAGGTAATTTTTTAATTTTCCCGAGAGTTTTCCAGTCACATGTAAAAAACCGTGAAAAACATATGAAAATCAGTACATTATTAAATACATATTAAAAAAAATATATTATAATGCCTATTTAATTATTTTACAATAATATGACATAATATTGTTGACAAACCATCACTATCAACTGAACTCCGCTCAGAACCGTTTTTTCGTAAGCAATGGTTTATTGTTGCTTACAGTTATACATTAAATAATCTATAACAGTGGCTACATCTGTTCCCATTATCCTAGGTCGTCTTTTTAATAATTAATTTTGAGTAAATATTTAAGAATATTTTATATTGAAATATAAAAACCTAGAAATTCAAAAAAAAATTAATTTTAAGCAATCATGCAGGTAAAAAAATTATGTAATAATGTGTAAAACAAAAAAAGATTAACATGGTACAAAATTAAATTATTAATTATGAAATTAGAAAAAAATTAAATTTAAGCATTTATAATACAATGTTATAATCTTTTTAATTGTTAAGAATATATAAACATTTATGTTTAAATTATTGAACTCATTATATATAATATGCTTTTCATTGTATTATTTAATTATTAGATTCCCCTGAAACTGTACAGATGCTGACTAAAGGAGACATAGTTTATATTTCTTCATTTGTGGATTTACAGTCTATTTATGTTAGACGTATTAATAATGGTACTGATAGATTTAAAACATTCTTGGAGAAATTTTCATTATTCTGTTCATTAGGTATGTACAAATGTCATTTATATAAATTTGTTTAATATTTTAATGTCTATTAAATGGTATAAAACAAAAAAGTTAGTTCTAAAGACGTAGTTTTTATATATTTTTTTTATTTATTCAATATAACATATAAGATTTAATATAGCCACACTAATCTAATCACTTATCAATTAATAAACATTAATCTCAATATTCATATTAATAGAAAATCCAATTGATAAAGAACCTAAAGTTGGAGAAATTGTTGCTGCGAAAGTAAAAAAAGGAAATAAGTTCTACAGGGCTGAAGTTATTTCTAGTGTAGATAATGATCATTTTATTGTTTGTTTTATTGATTTTGGCACACGGGCTACTGTACATTGGAGTAATATTGTACAACCATCTGAAAAACAGGTAAAAATGTATCTCATTTCTTCCTTATGAATTAGTTTTGTTAAGATTAAGGTTTATGATTAGGTTAGTTAAATTGTGTTTAGTTGATAAAATAAATACATTTTTCAGCTTAAAATTTGTCCTACATTTATGGTTGGTTTGGATGGATTAGATTCAGAACCTAAACAAATAACATCAATACAATATATTGAAGAAATTAGTAAAACGGATACCTTTATAATTGTATTTATTATTACTTATTTATTTTACTACCTACTTGGGTATTAGCTTTTGAACATTTGCCTTTTTTCCATAGGATTCTATTACTGAAGATAATAAAGTTACATTGATATCAGTCAAGACCAAATGTAATATAAATGAAAAAATACAAAAACTAATAGCTAATGATAATGTGAAATCAAAAATTCAAAATAATACAATATATGTCAGTAATGGAGGTAAAGTTGTAATATTTTAAGTTACACTAGGTATCTTAAATTACTTTTGGTTGATATTGGAAGACATTTTATTTTTTTTAGACATAGATGCAGAAACTGAAGAATCAGTAATAAAATATCACAAACCACTTTTAGAAGTTCCCACACAGGTTTACAGCATTTTTTAAATTCAAAATTTACTCTTGTAATATAATAATATAAATAATATTACTAATAATCACTTAGATTTGGATTGCAGAAAAAATATCTGCTTCAGGATATTTAGTGCACACCTACGATAGTCGTGTCGAATATATGCGTTTAGAAAAGCAAATGTTTGATGATAGTAAAACTTTTGAACCGGTAAAATCTATTAAAGTTAATATGCTCTGCATTGCATATTTCAGTCCTAATTGGTAAAATAAACTATATTTCATGTTAAAATATGTTTGCCAATTTAAAAAAAAAAAAAACAATATTTTAGGTACCGTGGAGAAATATTGGAAGTAGTCAATAAAGCTACAGTACGTGTTCGTCTTATTGATGTTGGAAATACTGTCATTCGTAATATCAAAGAAATTTTCTGCATACCATCAAAATACAAAGGAAAATCATTGGTGCGTTATATCATTGATATATAATATAATATATGAGTATAACTAAAAGTGATACATTTTATTCAATAAAAAAATCATTGTTAAAATATTTTTTTTATATTTAAATATGTTTTACATTAATCTTTAAATTTTGTCTTTATGAATTACATTTAAAGTTTATCAGTAATGCATTGAATATACTCAGTGTAATTGCTTAAGTAATATTTTGGGAAGTTTAAATAATATTATTTTTGTTCTATTTTTTTTTTTTTCTTACACATTAAGGAAAAATAATACTTAAATACATTGGACATTTGTTTATGGTAAATGTGGTTAATGAATCATTAATTTGGTATTATTTACCCATTTTTTATTGTTTACCTTTATATCATAGTTATCAGAGAAATAATTATTATTTAATAAATTCATAAATTCTTATTTTGTTTTTCAATTTTTAACTGGCCAAGAATTTTAAATTTAAAATTACTGACATCCATAATGTCTGAATGCCTAAATAAGAAGTGAAAGAAGATACCTATATTATAAGTCAATTATTTAGTTAATTGTGTCTGTTAAAATGTTTATTTATTAAATACATACTCCTAAGTTACTTTTACCTTATATTTCTATTAATTGATCATCTGAAATATAAAATTTGAAAAAAATATTTTGTTATAGTTGCTGAATATAGAGTTACAGCCTGAGCCACAAGAAAAATTGCCTATCACGACATTCAAAATTGTTCCTAAAAGACATGTAAGATTAATTATGCAAGTTTAATAATATCCTCAATACAAATATATATATATTTTTTTTTTTGAACAATTTATCAATAATTTATAAATTTTATTGTTTATTAATTAAAACTTATTAAATTTGGTTTAATTATTATTATATTGTTTTTCAAATGGTACTACTTAACTTTTTATTTTTAGAGACGTAATAATACATATGGTTAGACATGGAAAACAAATAAATAATAGTTCTAACAACAAAAAAGGTTGTAAAAAAAAGCCCCCGGAAATAAAAAAAAAATTAATTATAGAATTGATGGTGGGGGGGGGCATTAGAAGATTAAAAATTATGGGGAAGAGTAAAAAGAATATTATTATAGAAGTACATAAAAAGGAAAGTCGAAGACACATATGTTAAGGGTGTAGGAGAATTGAAAAAAGAGATGGAAGGAGTTGCAGATAAAGGAACCTTCGTGATAAGCACTAAAAGGAGAATCATTAAGGGATAAGTAGTATGAGTGAGCGGGGATGTGGGGTAGGATAGAAGAAAAGAGAAAGTAAATATTGAGGTAAATTAACTCTTACGATTCCATGACCTATGAGCCTTGAAAGTTAGGAAAAAGTCGAAATTTTAATTGGAGAAGGAACTAATTAACCTTTTTATATTAAATCACTAGTACATCTATTTTAAGGAATAGTTAGTAGGTTCTTTTTTGTATTAAAAACAGGGAGCTTTAAAATAACCATACCATATTTCAGCCAAAAAATGTTAACTAACTGATATTGTAGTCTATTCATGATTTAGCCAAGTTGTATTTATCTGAAGCGTTCTTTAGTTTATTTTGTTGGAACAATATATTGTCAGAAAATATTTTTGCTGAAAATAAATTGTTCAAACCACATTTCAGCTGAAATGTATAATAGCAGAAATGAATTGAAGCTAATTCCATATTTTATTATTACTGTCATGTGATGGAACTGTCGAGTATTTGTAATGAATCTGCTAAAAATCGATTATCTAAATTTTATGCTAAAATTGAGTATCTGTCTTCATTTTAATGTAAAAAATGACTTCAAATTTGTTAAATTTCATTTTGTAATACAATATTATTTTGTTAAACAAACATTTATTAAATGCTTAAAAAAACAAAATTAATACAAATATTATGTATTTATTTGTACACATAATTATTACATGGCAGAACCTCAAGAGCTATCCTATGGCCAGCAAAATTGATGGAATTCATCCGGAGCAATAAATTATGCCTACACAGTACCTATAATTTTTTGGGTTTAAATACAGTTTGCTGCTGTATGTTTGTACAACGGTTTTTGATAGTAATTCTGTTCGGTTTTAAAATGTTTGTCTAAAATATGGTTTGGCTATTTTACAATTGGTCTAAAATAATTTTTTGTCTAAGATATATAAATAAAATTCATTATAATTTATGTTTTTATTGGTAATACAATGAGTTGCTTTTTTCCTTAATTTTTGTAGGTAGATAATATAACTATAGGAGAGGTATTGATATCACCTACTGCAGATCAATCGTACAGTGATCTGGTTTGTATACGCTATTTACCTATATTGTGTTTAACATTAACTGTATATTTTCAATTGCATTATAGGAAAGCGTTGGACTCCCATCTTTTTCTTCAACACCGATACCCCATGACTCTGATATGTTTCAATTTAACAATCACAATGATATGGTAAATTAAATTATTTTTCTAAATTCAAATTATTACATTAGAATTTTTTTTAATTTCTATTTAGTTAACTGAAATGTATCAAGACACAGAAATAAGTGCACCATATAAGTCAAATAATATGTTAACAATCAAAGACATACAGTATGCGAAATGGTTTAAAGGTGCATCAAAGTTATTAACATTTGTGATTGTATACAAAGACTGTTTAATTCTGAGGGATCATATGATTGATGAAACTTTGGGGGATTTAGAAACACAAATTCAAGATTACTGTAAGACAGTCTCAAATTCATATTCTCCAACTGAAAATGAACTATGTCTAGCCAAATATTGTGAGTAGTATTTTAATGAGTTTAACTTAGATTTTGAAAATTAAGATTTAATGTTTTTGATTTTATTAATCATTTTAGCTGATGGATTATGGTATAGAGCCATATGCATCAAAACTGCGGATCCACTGAACAAAAACTTGTATACAATATATTACTTAGATTGGGGAATAGAATATTTTGTAAGTGACCAGGATATTTGTGAAATGTCTAAAGAGTTTCTTTATCTTCCTGCAACAGCGCATAAATGTTATATACCAGGTAATATCAATGACATCGATTTAAAGCTGTGTTTGTCTATTAATATTGGTGACTTGGTGCTATTTTTTATTTTTCAGGTGTTGTTCCATCAAAGTGGAGTCATGGTACGAAAGTTGCCATGTCTCAGTATTCGTTGACCCAGGTAGATTGTGTAATTGTTGAAAAATTGTCTAATGACAGTTACACTATTTCGTGTGACATTATTAAAAATTTGATCAATGCAAATTTGTATTAAATGGTATTGTCAACATCATTAGAAATTTAAAATTAGTATATTTTGGCAATATAGGTTTTATTCTGAATTATAATTATTATATTAAGCAATCTAATAGATTTTAATATAAAAGTATTTTAAATTATTTGTTTAATTGAATATTTCTTTAAGCCATAGAATTTTACTTCTGTTGATTTTTTTTTCATAAAAATCTTTTTTCATATTATATAAACTGAGCCGTAAAATGTCAATATTATATTAAATTTTTTTTTTAATTTTTTTTTTTTAAAAGTGAAAAATTATTTTTCATATTTGTACCTATTAAGCAAATTGAGTTTTGTACAATGTCAATATTATATTAGTTTTCATTAAATATTAACAGACCAATTAATTTATTTAACCTGTAATAAAATTATTAGCAATTGTTTATACCCGAAAAAATAGGAAATTTTTAATACTGGCTTTGTTTTTTTAATTTTTTGAAGTAACAAACAAACTTGACTTATATTACAGTTGGTCGGATTGTTGCTAAATTAGTAAAATTCTAAAAAAAAATTAATTTAACTAAATGCATTTGTCTAAATAAAATAAAAAAACCTTATTGGATATGTTTGTTAAAAACTCGTTGATTAGTTGAAAGAGTAAGTCAACAAGTTAGGCAAGTCAAGTTGCTTGGTTAAAATAGGTACCATGATTCTCGAACTGTACTATCCGACTATTCTAACATCTCCTAACCTATTTTTTCAACAAAAATTGCAATTTGCTATACCATACATTGAGGTGATAACAATTTATCATTGATATTTATATCAAATGTCAAGTATTAACCGATTAATCTCATGCTTCGTCCAAGGGTTGAAAATCAATCTCTGTTCCATTGTAGTGTATAGTGCTCCCGCTGTTGATAGAGGCTGCCATTCCCTTATTTCCAGAGTGAAAGACGAGGAAATTAATTACACCAAATCCAAAGGTTCATGGACACAATAGCATGTGCCTCATATAATCAGGACACCCTTTTTGTGACTCGGAAAACTGTTCGATTGTGATGTTATACTCAGTGTACGCATACCTGCCACTGTAGTATCGTGAAAAATTGTTTCTCTGTTAACCTAACTATTATAATTGTGTTATTTTTTTTTTCAAGCTCGATTTCAAGTACCTACTTGTATACTTTGATAATATATTCTGCAAATAACATACCCTAAATGGATCATAAAAAGGTCATATATTTTTTCAATTTTATAATTTTTTTAAACTGTGACCTTTTAGTCCTTTTAAGTAGGGTCAGGTAAGGTTAGGTTAAGTTTGTATTGTACAATTTCAGAGATTAAATATTATACTTCGAAACAGAAAATTGTTATAAAAATCAAAAAAAAATCCATACAATAAATAACATACCTATAACCTATCTATACACAAAATAGAAAATATAAATTTTAAAAATTAAAAATAATAGTTTTCAATATGAAATAGGAAGTAAGATAGTATACAAATTATGGATTTTATGGATTGATATTATTTATGAACAGTATAATATTAATACTAAAATATTGAAGTTGCTTACTTTAATTATAATATTTGAAAACTACATAACCAATCAACCAGTATGTAGGTGTTTATACAAAAAATTAAATAATTGAACTAGAAAATGGTTATATGCATTTGTATTAATAGGTTTATAACATCGAAATACAGGAACAGATTGGGACAGGCCCGAGGAAATGTATAATATGTAGCGGCCCACTAGCATTTGGGTCATACCCACTAGGCCATATTTGAGTGGTTAAGGTTAGGTTCTTGGTGGAAGTGAAATTTGTTTGGTCCATTTTAAGGGGTGGTAAATTTTTATTGATCTACATGGTATAATAATAATATTTATTTAGTAAAAATTCATAAAAAATGAAATAAAATTTCAAAACAAAGAAAAGTTGAAAGCTCAATCAAAGAGCATAGAAATGCTTGTAACGGTTAAGTCGAGTTCATATTCTCCCTGAATTCCCCACTTTCCTTTTAAGCACGTGATGTGCAATAATTCTTGTCTAATTATTATCTGCAGGTAATGTATTCCTTCAAATATTCTTCTTTAAAAGATGTCGCGTTCAACAATCTTGGCTCTTCTACTTCAACATGACAATTTGTATGGGCGACTGGCGTGTACCCATTTGTACAATTGTACCCACAAAGTACGTAATTTTATACGAAAAAAAAAACAATATGTTGGTTTTTTGTTTTTTTTTTTTTCATTTTAGCAGTTTTAAATTTACGAGGAAAACCTCGTACAATACGTAAGGAAAAAAAAAAGTTTTCTTTATATCTCTGCGTGTGCTGCAGTGTGTACAAGGAGGGACGTGCACCAGCAATGTAGCACATGTAGCCGTATAGGTATTATGTACGTACGCTCGTTTTACGTTCAGTGGATCATCGTGTTACAGTTAGTATAATATAATGCCATGTATAATATGTTGTATAATATACCTATGTATAAAATAATTTCGTATAACTCGCAGTAAAAAAAAGAAAGAAAAAAAGTGTCCGCACTCGCATTATTTTTATATGTATTGCTTAAAGTCGCGCGGTGTGCATGACGGGCGTGCGTTCTCGAAACGTGTGTTGATAAATTGCGCGAGCGATTCTCCCCCCCTTCCCCCCTCGGGTGCAGTTTTTGCTTTTTCGGGAATGTAAATCGGGTTCGCCATCGTAATAATATTTCCCGCGATAATATTTCGCGAGTATAATAATAATAATAATAATAATAATAATAATATTACACACATATAAAAAAAAAAAATACAGGTGCCTATATTATTGTACGCGGGATGTTTCAAATTTCGCGTTATTCACGATTCGCTTATTTTTTACTCGAAAAACTTCTTGATCGTGTCGCGTTCTAAAATGTCATGTTTTGTCTTTTTTTTCTGTCACCCTTATACATAGGCGCAACTAGACCACCGACTTTGGAGTCTAGGTGTGCTAAAATTATGGACACATCAAAGACCCATGGGGGCTATATGCACCCACAATCCCCTTTGCACGACTTACAATAGTTAACTATACTTTTCATTTACAATTTTGTGTATACAAATTTATCATGATTATTTTAACATTATTTTTATACACACATACCTGTGCATTGAGTGTGAGAAACCTGTATGTTTTTCTGTTCATTAACTATGAAATACACGGATAAAATATTTTGTCATTATTATGAAAAACCTGATTGGGTTTTATTAAAAATTCCACAAATAATTGAAGTTTTAGTTTAGATTTATATTTTGGTGTTGAAATGTTTAATCTCAACCAATTCGTATGGACCAACTCAGATATTCCATTTTTAAGTTTGGGTAGGGGCGGGGGAAATTAATAGAGTGACATTTGTGTGGTGGCGCAGTTGAACGGTGTTCCATTCTCCATACCCCTAACTAAAAAGTGGAATAAATTGTAAACGGATACGTAAAAATTAAAATATCCACAAAATGTATTTAAACTAAAACTTCATCTATTTATGGAATTTTAAAAGTAGAATTAGGTTGCTATTTTAAAGTCAAAAGTGAATAGCGGTTTCACCTCCGTGGAATATAAGATTACGGCAAAGGAATACACAAGTCATTTTTTGAAGGGGGGGGAACGTATTTTACGGGCAAATTGTCTTCAGCACGGAATTTGGAACGCCTTGCATATAATTCTACTGTAATTGTCGGAAGTGAAAGTCGTGTCGTGTTGTTTTTAGGGAGGCTCGGCGTCACGCGATATTCGCCCGAGCCGTGTTATTATATTGTACCGGACTAAGGTAATATTTAACTGTGTATAATAATAATAATAATATTCATGACGACCGAGCGGAGTTTTAATATGAATACGTACTCGTTTCGCATATAATACACGTACCGCGACGACTTTGCATGTATAATAATAATAATAAAAATTTGTCCGGCGAGCCGCAATATCTCGCTGTATTAAAAATGCTCGCGTATTATTGGTCGGTGCGCTTCGCCCGTACAATATTATATACGTACGGGTTACCGATGTACGAAATACACAACTCGTTCAGAAGTTTTTGAATTTTAATACAAATTTGACTGCGTACATTATGCACGTATATATGTATATATATATATATATATATATATATATATGTGTGTGTGTGTGTGTATATTGTATAGTTCAGAATCATGCGATATAAAAAAACCATTACGGAAAATATTATTGTATCGATCGGCTGTTTCGTCGCGTTCGTCCCCATAATAAAAGTGAATAATATTTAGTTGTTGTCGGACTCGATTTTATGTAGTGACAGGGGCGTGCTCACGAGTCACGGGGCGAGGGGAAGGGACTCCACCAGGGTTTACATCTCTCCTTGACATTTTTTTTTTTTTTTTTTTTAAATTTATTTTGTATGAACTCATTAAGTTACTTATTTACTTTTCCTACTACCGTATAAGAACTATAAGATATAAATTATGTAAAAGTACCTATTTAATTTACCGCCCATAGGGATGTGCCAACTACTCGAGAAAAGGCGCTCGACGAGATGGCAAAAAATAACTAGAAAAATTGATTTGGTTCTTTAGCATTTAATTACATATATAACCCTATAGGGTTACTAAAATCAATAAATAAACAAATTAAAAAAAATTCCCTATGATTACGGAGACGGGTGCAACCAGTGTTATAGGTAATTTAATGTAAATCTGTAAGCAACGATAAACCATTGCTAACGAAAAAACGAGCGCAGTTCAGTTGATAGTGATGCCTTATCAATCACTTGAAAAATCAACAAATGATCTCCCTAAATTACCACGGAGATATAATTTCTTTTCAGAAAATGAGCTACTCTTGATACATCGGAGCAAAATAAATGGTAAAAATGTTTGTACAACAAATCGAGAGGTATTTTGCGATTAAAATAGTCCGAGCGAGCGGTGGCTTGGGTCACTAGGTACACCCAAAATGCATTTGTTTTTCCCTTGTTTAGGTGGAAGGAAAAATGCAAAAAACTTTGTTAGATAACCGGATTTGATCTC